TTGCCGTTATTGTTTGTCGTTTTTGGAAGGGGGTGGGGTGGGTGGTTGGGGGGGGGGTTGGGTGGGTATACTTTGTCGTCTTTTTCGGGTTGTGCGCAGGTGTTTGGGGCCAGAATATAAACTCCAGTCTTGGGTTTTTGCTTCATAGGGGTCCCCCAGATTTGGTGTCTCTTTAGGTAACCATTGCGCACTGCAAGTTTCCCGCTTTTGGTACGTCTAGTTGAAGCCCCTCTGTCAAACCCTTGTGAGCGTCCCTTTATTTCCACAAGGTCGCGGAGTCACGTGGCTATCAACCACTCCTTGTTTACTCACTTGCTGGGAGGTCCAGTGAGACTGTATTCATGGCTGATTCGCAGGTTCCACTAAATTCCCTGGCTGAAAAACTCACCCGGGGCATGAGGGATTCCTGAATGCTTGGTGAATCATTCTCATTTGTGCTTCCCTTCGCATCAGGCCGTGACGGCTACATATGAAGATAAATGAAGGTCGGGGCTACCTGAGAAACGGGGGCCACGGCCACCGAATGGATCACTGTGGAACAAGATAAATAGTGACTCCATCTGAAACAGGAATAAATCTATGCCACCTACATATTTATCTACACATCTATAAGTCTAGGCAGCGCATACGTCTAGGCTGCACTTATACAAGTAACCTGCATGCAGCTCCATATATATATATATACAAATATATGTGCGAATGCAGACACATGTGTATATATTATGTATCCACACATAAGCACAAACAATATATATATATATATGCACATACATGTTACACATGTTCTAGGGGAGGAGTTGAAAACTCCAGCTCCCAAAGCTTCCAAGGTGGAGTACGATGCAACGCCGACAGTCTGCGACGATGGAAGACGAAGAGTAAGAAGAAGAGGAAGAAGAAAAGGAAGAAGCGCAACAATAAACATAATGATCCTAATAAGACTTATAATAATAAGAAGAAACAAAAAGAAGAAGCAGAAGAACAAGAAGATGTCCCGTTTTCCCCCAGCCTTGCGGTCAGGCCTTGGCGCAGCAACTGGCTGCGGCGCTTCAAGAGCAGGCGGCCGGCGCCGGGCTGCAGCGAGTGGCCGCGGTTCTTGGCAGCGAGGCGTCTTCGCGCGGGTTTCGCGCGCGGGGAGGGGGGGTGTTGCCGGAAGAAGGGCCTTGGATTCTTCTGGGTGAATTATAACGACCTCACACGACCTCACCCCAAATGGTGGTTTATGTGGGGAATATCCCTCCAACCACCTTATTTCAGGCTGGTGAAATTGGGGTGGAAAGAAAACGGGGTGGCACCCCCCAAAATTGGTGGTTTACCTTTGGCGAGTTTGACTTGCAAGGGACGAGACTTGGATTCTTCTTGTTTGGGATATTTGTACGGCACATGCATCGCCCCGGCCGCTTGGAGTCACTATATATATATATATATATATGTGTTTTAGCCCCCCCGAACAAAACTTGTGGGTTTTCCTTTTTGGCTACCCCCAAACAAAGACAGACCCATGTATGACTACAGAAACATCTCTTTCCAAAAATAGACGTGGACAGGAGGGTTCTGGCAAACGTCATTTTCAAATTGGTGGCAGTTTTGGTGTTTCTCTTGTGTTTTTTGTTTCTGAACCAGCATGTGGAAAGAGGCCACAAACATGCACTCCCCCTTTCCCCTCCCCCCAAGCGATGTATCGGCTCGCCGTGTACCAGTGCAAGCATGAGACCACACCATGAAGGGCCCTTGCTAAGCGTGAGCATTGATTTGGATTCGACCTTTCGAAAAATCCTAAACCAAGGGAAGGCTGATGTCCACTACCAGAGGTTCACTAACGCCTCACAAAGTGGACCTTGGCTTCGGCTTTCGTAAGACAGGTAAGGCCTTGAGTTTTATCGGAGGTTTCTTGAGGCCAAAAACCAAGAGGGCGGCACAACTTGGACCCACGAAACTGGAGCTGGGTGAGTTCCATGTGAGGTTTCTCCAAATTCGCTCGCAAGCCAAGCCGCGCGCAATTGAAGCGCTCCGCCCGTCGCGCGTCGCGCGGGTCGAAGCGAACGAGCCCGCGCCGCAAGCGAACTCGAGCGAGCGGCGAACGGCGCCAGGCCGGGGCCGGGGTGGCGAGTCTGGAGGTGCGGTCCCCTGCCGCGGAGCTGCGGCTGGAGCTGGGCCTCGAGGCTATCGGGGGATCTGCGGGATGGAGGGGGGTGGGGGGAAGGGGGGGGGGGGTTTGGTCAGGGGGGTGGAAGTGGAGAAGCAGAGGGGATGCCTCAACGAAGAAAGACGGGGTGTGTGGAGTGCGTGGGGGGGGGGGGTGGGGGAAGGGGGGAAGGGGGGGGATTTTTTGGGGGGGAGCAGCCACGCAGGTCTGACTTGGTTTGAGGGTAATTACAATTTTTGTTGCTGTTTCAATTGGAGCCAAGACGAAGCAATTTTGGACGTCCCCTAAAGCAAGACGGGCCACCCATAGTGCTAGTGTGGATGGAGAAATCCATTTCGAGCCGTTCAGGCCCTATCTGTTTGGGGGTGTCTTTTTTGATGGGAGCCCCCAAAATGGTGGTTTGCCTTTTGCTCTGCCTTTAAAACCACAAGAAAAAGCTACCCTTTAAAGGAAAGACAGACCATTTGGGGTGGGATTTTAAAGGAAACTCAACCGGCAAACCGAAAAGGGCAACCATGCCAGCGGGTGCCTCTCCAAGTCCAAACAAGCCTGGCAAGAGGAAAACCACCAAGAACCAGCTTGGCCAAAACCGACCACCAGACCTGTGGTTCGCCACTATCCGAATCCAAAGGCCCCATGGATTCGGAGAAGCTTCGAAGCCCGGTGCAACCAAACCCGAACAATCGCCCAAGTCCGAAACGGAAGGCAGGAAGTGGTTGATCACTCGGGGCTTATCGAAACCCAACCGTGTCTGATTCGATTCAATGTAAATGCCAAGAAACGGTCTGGTTTCCACCATAGTTTCATTTCGTGGTGCGAAATGGATTTCGCGACCATCCGCAGTAGTAATTATTGCCCAGATTTGTCAAACCAGAAATCATCATTCCAGGGTTGCTTAGGTGGTGCCAAATGGATTTCGCAACCATCCACTGTAATGTTGACCCCAGATAAATCAACCCCATGTTTATTCCTCCAAAAGTGGCCACCTTTCACCCAGGAACCCCCCTCTACTAGTAGGCCGGGGTTGAAATTGATATGGGGTCAACAGTATGGGTCAAAATTAAACCACCAGGAATCAGACCATTCCAGGTGCGAAATATCACCCGACCGCCCCTTCAGCTGTCAGTCGCCCTGGCTGCCCTTGGAGCTCGTTCTGCTGCGGGAGGGCCAGGAGGACGCGTGCTTCGCCCGCGACGCGCGCTTCGCCCGGGTGGATGCGGGCCGTTTTTTGTGGAACAGGTCGGAGATGTTGGACTCCCCGAAAGCTGTGGGAACCCGAAGCCTGTTGCTTTTTATCAGCTTCTTTTTTTTTTGGAAGGGTGTGCTGGGGTCAGTTGGATGCATCTGCTGGTTGACTTTGGGATGGTCATCTGGATGGAAGGGTGTCTTTGGGATCATTTGGGTGCATCTCCTATTTGACTTGGTAGGTCATCAACCGCATATGAGGGACGCAGGCAACATGTGGACCGCCTTGTAATCTTTGGCATGACGTGTTGCATTCAAGGAACAAACTGCTAGCTGAGCCCATATTTCCCGACTAGTCTACCACTCAAAAAATATTAAGGGGTTGCAACCTCCATGACGAAGGTTCCTTTCTTGGGGAGCCTTTGCTTCAGGTGAATTGCAATTCACCCACATAGGATTGTCTCAAAAGGGGGGGGGTTGACCCCCAAATTGGTGGTTTACCCTTGGCGAGTTTGATTTGGCTGCATCGCCTCGGCCTGCATGCTCGAAACCCGAAGGCTTCATTGAGACAACAAGTCTTGCAGTAGCTTGGAGTCATTATATGTGTGTGTGTGTCTTTTTAGGTGACCCCCGCAACAGAAATTGTGGATTTTCCTTTTGGTTACCCCCGAACAAAGACAGACCCATACAGAACTACACAATCATTTCTTTCCAACAATAGACGTGGACAGGAGGATTCTGACAAACTGTCATTTTCAAATTTGCCTCTCCACTTCCATTGCGAGAAGGGCAATATTTATGCTGCTCAGCGTTTTGGTGGTAGAGAAGCCTTTTTTGCGTGCCCCATTCCCAGCGTAGCACTAGGGATACCCGACCTTGGAAGTTCTTTTTTTTTGGTGTGTGTGAAGCCGTTTGCTTGTGACATGGCAGCTGTCTTGTGAGGATACTGTAAGTCGCCACAGGGTGTTGTTTTTTGTTTGTTTAAAGATAAACCACCATTTTGAACGTTTTCCTTTTGAGGGGATAAATAAACCCGGCTGTTGTAGGTTTATTGTTGGAGTTGAGGGTGCCATATGTCTCGCCTAGCTCTGCGAAAATCTCGGAGCCAACCAAGAACACCATCCGTTGTTTGTGCCCTCCTTTATGAGCACAGCCTGTTGACAGGTTTTGAGAACAGACACCTCTTTGAAGTATGTTGGAAGCCAGGGGAAGGGGGATCCAGCGGGCGTTGCATGTGGATGGGTCAAAATTCGTCACCGTCACTACCAGGACTTGGACTTCAGGTTCTCCACAGGTTTCCATTTATCAGGTTACCCCTCCAACGAGTCACAATGAAACCCCGAATAATTGGAGGGTAGTAAGGGAAAATCCACGCCATAAAATGGGGGCAGTCGCCCTTTCAATTCTTGACATTTTTTCTGGGTGACCAGGTTTTGAGTATGGCTCAAATGGCTTCTCCACTCCATGATTGGGAGAAGGGCCATATCCACACTTCTCAGTGTTTCGGTGCCGGTGTTTCGCCCTTTTCTGGGTCCATTCCCGTAGCATGAGGGCTCCCCGCACTCCCCCCGCCCTCCCCCTCCCCCCAGTTTTGGGTGACCCGATTTTTGGGCCAACGCCTTCCCAGGAGAAGGCCTGGGCCAGGGCCCAGGCCACTGGCCAGCGCTTGGTGATGCTGCTGCCCAGCCTGCCCAAGGCGCGCGCGTGGCCGAGGGGGTGGGTGGAGTGGGGCCTCGGCTAAGGAAGTGGTGGTTTGGAGTTTGGTGGATTGGGGTTTGAAGCCCAGGTCCGGTTGAAAGCTGGGGAAGGCCGCCCCGAAAATCCAAACCACACCAAACCAATTCACCAAGGGGAAAGGGGAAACCAAAGGGAGCAGTTGCTCAGCTGTTGACCTTGGAAACGCGTGGGGTGGGGTGGGGTTGGGAGGAAATGTTTACGTTTCTAGGATGTTTCTGGGCAAACAAGAATGAGCTGAATAAACGAGCTCTCCTGTAAATACAATGGATTCAACCATGGTTTCAAAGTGGTGCAGGATTTTGTCCATTCACAGTAGCAATTATTGCCCAGATTTGTCAAACCACAAGGACTCTCTTGTCACTTTCCACCCCGCCCCGCTGATCTTGGAAAGAGCTCTTCCTTATTGTTTGGCGCGCTTTTCTTGTTTACCCCTTTGCTGGTGTCCTTTGAGTTGTTTGGTTCGGCCCCAGCATCTCGTACTGTATTGCTGGAAAAAGGTGCCCCATGCAAGATTACCATCCAGCAGTGGTTTCCCCAGAGGAGGTGCTTTGCATTTGTTTTCTCAGCCGCTTCGTTGTCTGCTTGTCCCATTTTTGGCAAACCCCCGCGGGGTGGCAGCGTCGAAGATCTCCCGCGCGGGGGTCCAACAATTCCCAGCGTGGGTCTGCGCGCAGAAAGCCACCCGTCTTTGGTTTTGGCCGTGGGCTTCGGGGTCAAAAATTCTTGCGACTGGGCGCCCACGGAGGTTTTACCCAAAGCACAGTTCCCCGTTTCAGGGTCGCTTGGAATAGTTCTCCAACTGATTCTTTCTGATCCACCAAGCCGCCGCGGACGCCCAAACCTGTTGTTTCACAGGGGTGCAACAGAAACTCGCGCTGTCGCGCGCGCACCGCGCGCGCGCGCGAGGGCCGGTACCAGCTGAGCCTGGTGCTTTGGGCGCCCGTGCGCACGCTGCCGGCGAACAAGTGCTGCGCGGTTCTGGGCAGCGTGGGGCTTCTGGCGCCCAAAGGACGGGATACCTCCAACTACCGCCAGGACCCCGAGGGGAGGGGAAGGAAGTGGAAGGAAGCGGGCCCCGTTCCCCGGATTTCACCCGCGACAGAGTCTCGTTTTTGGGGGGTGGCGTAGCAGTGGCTTCTCAAATTCTGGGTCGGACAATCACCAGGATGCTGTTTAAGCAGAAACCAAAGCTAAGCTGTCCATGGCAACAGTTTGGACTTTTGAATGTCCGTGTGTTGGACTAATAGGTACAACAAAGCTGATCATTTGTGGTGGTCCGATGTCTTTTCAGTGCACTTCCCGTTGACTTGTCCAAAGTCTGCTTGCCAGGCTGTTAGATGGCTTCTAAAACCTTTGTCTTTGTTTTTGTGAAGCTCAAATTGCTGAACACATGAAAAAGGAATCCTTTGTCCTTTTTGCAAAGTGGTCAAAGGAAACACGATGAATGGCGGAGCTTCCGTGGTCTGGAGGTTAGATGTTGGTTCGCTGAAACAAAAGGACTTGGGGCTCAAAAGCAAAATTTACTGTTCAGGGCTAACTTTTGTCTCACGTTTGACTAGGATAGGACCTTGGACAATGTATGTAACATCGACGTAGTTGTGAACATACATGCATGCATGCATGCATTCATACATGCACGTATACACACACACACACATGTTACGGACTTGTTCGCTGGTCACCCGGTAGGACAATGACATGGTGAACGATTCAGTCATTTCTCCCCCTGATGCATATATATATATATACACACATGCATACACAAACAAATACGCCTATACCTAAGCATACACCTATACATGTATATGCATTCATTAACGTGTTGTAATGCACATATGCGTATATAATTATATATATATATATATATACATATGCTCACCCCCCCCCTCCCCGAACTACATTTGGGGCATGCATGCCTGATTCAACCAGCCTGAAGTATCTTCTTATCTGCATTTGCTCATCTGCGTCTGCTCCCGCCAAGTACCAACATATCAAAACAACATGTAGGCATTTGCCTCTGTGATTAAAACCCTGGTTGGACAGGAATTCCTACTTGAATTATCAATCGAAATTGAATTTGCGTAGCAATTAGCATTGATTAACGTTCTATTTTGAAAGTAATGTAGGCCCTTCTAGTACCCAGTGCTTCCTTCCAGTTGCCGCAATAGTAGGCAACCAGGGGCTTGGCATGATGTCTTCCCTGGTTACCCACAACAATGACAACTGGAAGCACAGAAGGCGAAGAGGTTCCAAAGCCCTGCGATGTTTTTTTGTCAAATATGCTGATGGCTTGCCTGATCCTAGGCTAGGCCTGATGGCAATTTGTTCTCTTAGGGAGCCCCCTCAAAAGCGGTGGGTGGACAGAACTCCCCACCTAAAGGGACACAGGTGTCCTTTTTAGGCTAGTGTGGTCAAACATAGAAGGCACTGGTTTAGATGGGTGTTACTCCATTTACCAGGGGAATCCATCGATTTTTCCAAAAGGACACCTATGCTAAAGGATGTCCACTGAAGGGTCCCCTAAAAAGCGAGTCAAATCCTAGGAGATGCTGACCATGCCAGAGCTGCTGGCAGTGCATGCGCTTCCTCCCAAACTGGTGCCAGGCTGGTGGCGCGTGCAGCTTCTCGGTTGCTTAAGGAGGGAGTGAGGTGTAGCATCCGCACCGGGTCGGGCGAATTCGTGGAAGACTGCATGGCATGGCATGGTAGGCCGGCATGTCTGGGTTGATTTGAAGGTGTCTGTGAAGACCCAATTCGAGGAAGCATCGGGCGACTTTGGTTTGAAGTTTCCACAGCTATGGACCCCTTGAAGGGAATGAAAGAACACGCCAAAAGAGGATGTTTAAGCACCACTGTTTGCGAATGTTTAGCGGCTGGAACCCTGATCCAAACCCCTCCTGTTTCCAACCAATATTTGAGACCCCTTTGGAAGCCATGGGAAGCGGTTCCTTTTGTGACCCGAAGATTTTGTTCCCCTCCTGCAAGTTTTTAGGCTTCGAATCTGGGCGTCCCTCTCCCAAAAGGAGGTTCTATGGGTTTCTGGAATCTATGATACTGAGGCGGGGAAACTTGTCCAATCGTGGAAGTGGATTTTTGTGCCCTTTTTCGAGAGGATGGTTGTTTAGGAACCTTCCTGTGCTCTATGATTGGAAAGAGGGTAGGGAGGGGTTGTAGGGACCCCTCGTGAAAGGACCCCAAGGCCGACCCGCTGTGAAAATAAAGGGAGGGATCACAAGGCACACAAGAGCACAAGAGGTGCTGGACTTTATGCTTTGTGGAAGACCATGTAGGGATGAGGTTAGACTCGTTTTGGCCTTGCGCTAGGTGAAGTGATTAGTATTCACAGGCAAGAAAACGCCAGAACCTGAGCATTGGACTGCTAAGTCTTTTGGTTTAAAGGGAAACCACCCTGAAACGTACCTTTCAGAGCTAAACATGTTCACTCGGAACCCAGTTGTTGAAACCAAAAGGGCTCCAACCTTCTTAGGAGTCCATTTCCCTTGTCAGACCCTCATTTACTTGTTGAAGCTGTGAACAAAATCCTGCACCAGCTGGTCTATCCCAGTCACAGGTTCTGCTGCAGGATTTGTCAATCAGTACGTCATTAGGAAAACCGACGGGCTGCCGCCAGGGGGATCCCTGGATAAGATCACGTCCAATCCAAAGTATTTCCGCTGAACTTTAATCGTCCGAAACCCCCTCCATCAGGGTTTCGAACCTCCAAAAGTGGCAGTTTGAAGGGAAACCACCACTAAATTGATTAACTTGTGCTTCGGGGAAATCCAGTGACCCCCTGTATTTCAGGTTTGGGATGGTTTTACAGGGACACCAAAAAAGGCCAACCACCATTTGTGGGGGGATCCCCGAAACAAAGACACGCACCCTTTCAACGCTCGGGGACCCCCCTCAACGCTCCGAAGCCGCTCCGAAGCCGAGCTCGCGCGCCGAGGGATGAGTTCCTGGGCTCGGAGATCTTCGCGGTGCCGGCAGGCAACTCGCCGGGAGTTGGACCTCAAGAGGTTTGTCCACTTCCGTTGGCTCAAGAAGATGTTGTTGTTTTGGTTCTTCCTTGTTTTGTTCTCCCCCTGTTTGCTGCCTTTTTTTTAAATAGTTTATTTAAACTACTGGACATGGTATTTTCCTTCTTTTTTTCCGGGGGCTTAAAAGCAAATGGAAGTCCAGGTAGCGGCGTCTGCCTCTCGTTTTAGGAGTTTTGAATCCTCCAAATCAGCTGCAAACTATGATATTAAATATGGCGAACACGTATGCATCCATTAAGCAACCCCTTGTTTTTTGTTTGACCCTCTTTTGGATGAGAGGGTACACATCAATTCTCCTGCTAACATGAAACAAAGGCAAGTGAGTTTTCTGGGACAAGAGTGACCCCCCCTTTTTGCGGTACCCTCCATTTGGGTGTGTCTTAAAGGCAACCAAGAGCAACACCACCATTTTGCAGGAGAGACACCCATTTGTGAAAACCTTGGGACATCCACCATGTGGGTCGGTCATTTTTAGGGGAGCCCCCCAAAATGTGTAATTTTCCTTTTGGCTTCCCTGTAAAACCACCTAACAAGGGGTAATTAGCAACTCCTTTTGAAGAGGCAGAGCCATGTTTGCACGGTATCCACGGCTTCAGTTTCCGGAGGCTGGTTTTCGACAGGCTAAAGATAGAGGTAACCTCAATTCTGGTTACCTATTGTGGCTTTCCTGGATGGATTCACTATTTTCCAAGGGTTCATCTTAAAAGTAGGACGCCTGCCCCAAGCTCGGTGGTGCTTCCCTTTGTTTCTTTGTTTAACCCCTCCAAAAAGGGGGAGGGGTGCCCTCCCGACCCACCCGAGCGCCCAAAAATCGGCGCGTTGTGCACGCGCAACACGCCACGCAGCCAGGCGGCAGTAGCAGCAGCGTGCTGCAGCTGGACGCGCCGGCGGTGCTGCGGCTGGTGGCGGAGCCCGCGGACATTTTGGCGCCGCGGGTGTCTGCGGAGCTGCGGCAAGGCGCGGGGGAAGTGAGGGGGCTATGGGGGGTGGAGGGGCGGGGGGAGGATAGTGGAGGGGGGGAGGGTGGTGGAGGGGGTGGAGGTGGGGGAAAGGGCCAAAATGAAGCTGTTCCATTCGTGGTGGCCATTCGAAAAGATATTGTTTATCGCAAGGTTGGCTAAATATGCAGCAGAATCTGATATCATTTTTGGTGAGAGATGCCAAGGAATGCTTGGGGAGTGCAAGTTGGCAACCAAAAGCTTGCCCTCATCTTGCGCCAGCTCTCCGCAAGCTCATGAAAAGGAGCTGGCATTTTCTCTCGTCGAAATCCATCTTGGTGTCTGATGATTTCCCTGCAAGTACCAACAAACAATGGTTCCCACCACGGTTTCAAAGTTTAGTGGTGCGATTTCGCAGGGGCACATGATCTTGGGCACATGTTTGAGCTTCCTTGGGCACATGATCTTTCTCCTTGGGTTTCTTGAGAGTCTTTGGGGGCCCTTGAAACGTACGGGTGGGTGGGGGGAGGGGTGGGGAGGAAGATCTCCAAACAAATCCAGGTTAGGAGATGTTTTTTATAGATCTAGAGGGATAATTCACTCGAATGTCGGGGCCTGCTCAACCCCAACAATGTGAAGGCGTCATTCGAGGAGCCCGAGAAAAACAATTTGGGGGTCCTACCCCTCTGAGCAGTCGAGTTGGCGTTGCTGCTTCAGTTTGTTGTGTAGAACTGCTTAGTATTGTTGAGATTTGATTTAGTTTCTTCTGTAGGACTATTTAGAACTGTTCAGCACCGTTTAGTATAGGCGTAGTATTGGTTTAGTTTGTGGTGGAGCTGAGTACGACTGTTTAGTGCTGGTGCAATTGGTTTAGTTCGTTGTGTAGTGCTGATGACAATTGAAAAGTTTCGTGTGATGTTGGTCAGTTGCTGCTTGATCTGCCCGGATAAATTTGATTTCTGACGCCACAGAGGCACGCAAGCTCGACGAAGAAATGCGAGTCCCGATTTTCTGCATGTTTTCTTGTTTGGTCCCCGTGTTGCCCTTGGCTCTTGGCATCTTTGCCTCTGGCACTCTTGTTCGTTGAGGTGCTGTGTGATGTCGGAAAGACTTTGTCACGTATTTTGTTGCCCTTCGATCAATCGGGCCTCGACACTGCGGGACCTCTGCTTCCTTAAAACTAGCACAAACACAAGTGTTCTCTGAAAAAATGTTTGCTTGGTTGGGGCCAGGTTCGGGGACCTCTGATTCCTTTAGAATTAGCAACAACAAGCGTTCTCTGAATTGGTTGGGGCCCGGTTCGGCAGGTGCACCACGGGTAGGGCGAAAACTTTCCGCGCTCCGTTCTTTGCCAGGCGGCCAGAGCGTGGCCGAGAGCAACGCTGGGGGGGCTGGTTTCGCACAGCTGCTCGCCGCAGGCGGTCTGGCTGGGACATGCGAAGGTTCCGGGTTCTGCGAAGAAGCGGAGAGAGGGACAGAGGGAAAGGTGTTGCGCGGAGGGAGAGTTTCAGACTTTGATTCTCGTTGGAGTTCGGGGGAGGGAGAGAGAGAAACACGAGTTCTGTTCGTTTCCGGCGCTGTGGTCGAGAGGTGTTGCATTGGTTGCAACCAGATCATGAATTGAAGGGGGTGGTGTTCCGGGCCCAAGTGAAGGTGCTTCCCCAACTACCGGTGCTGAGGAAGGCGGTGCTTGTGGGACAATTTGGGGGTCTCTTGTTTTCACAGTCCGTATGTGTTTGCTTGTCTGCCCGCTTGCTTGATTGCTCGGGTGTTGGATTGCTTGATTGCTTGGTTTGCTTGTGTTTGTTTGTTTGTTTGATTGATTGATTGTTTGTTTGTTTGCTTGTTTGTTTGTTTGTTGTTCAATTTTGTTCATGTTCCAATTTTGGCGGCACCTACAAACCAATTTACCGGTTGCAAAAAACACTACGGGCTCGGAGCTACAATGGGAGTCCTTCGTTTCACTTCCAAAATGGGAACAGTGCACCAGTGATTTGTGGGGTTCTTCCCTCCCTTCCACCAACATGGCACCTGACAGCGGGTCCGTTAAATAGGAAATTCCAGGTATCCTCCCACACATGCTATGTTAGTAGGAGGAAGGGTAAGTTTAAAGGAGGGAGGCTTGGCTTTGGCACAAGAGGGCTTTTCAGGCACACGCACACACACCGACAGAACCACACTCCCACACACACACACACACACACTCTCACCCACACACACACACACAGCCCCTTGCCACCCCCTTCGCACCCTGCCTGCCCACTCCGAGCTCGTGCGAAGTCCATGTGATAAGATATGCTCATCGAGGGTGTTTCCATTAACAGGGCACAGGCCATGTTTATCTTCCCATTGCCAGACTCAAAGCTTAGGCAAAAACAAACCGGGGAGTTTCTTTGCGTTTCCATCATGTTGCAGGTGGCCAGCAAAACATGATTTTTCAGTTGTTTCTACGTTGGATGCTCGGGTTTGAAAAAGCGACCTAGTCGGCTGGGTCAACTGCAAAGCCTTGGACCCCCCAATCTCTGGACCTGAACCCCTCAGGAGCCGCTTCTGTGGATGGACGCAGTCCATCACCACTTTGAACCCATGGTTGAAACCCTTTCGTTGGTATTTACAGGGGAATCGAATCATTCCAGGGAACCGAATCGAGTTCGGCGGTGCGATTTCTGGATTTCGAGGACCCATCCAGAGTATGGGCCGATTTTTAGGGCCCCAAGAGGAGGATGCAATGATTTCGCCGCAAAGTGGAGCGAGCCACCTGCACCCCGCTGGGGTTCTCAAGCTGCTTCCTGACGGCGAAAAACGCGAGTTGCCTCGCCACCTCACCCTCCTGCGCGTGTGGAAGAAAGCAAAGACCTCAGACTTCCGCCCCAGAAGTATGGAGCCATAGGCGTCCTTTTTGTTTGCTTTGGCAGAAAAGTAGATGGGTTTCGATTCCTGGTTTTACCTGGTGGTTTCATCATCTACCAGGGAAACCCATCTTTTTCCCCTAAAAGGACACCAAAGGAAGGAGCCGGCCCTCGGTTCCAAGCTTAGAGGGCCTTCCTCCGCCGAAAAAGGGCTGGACAGAAGGTTTTACATCTGACTGCCTGACGGAGAAGCCTCGGGGCAGCAGTGCGCGCGTTTGGTTCAACCTCTTTCTGTCGACAGGGGGAAGCATCTCTGCGAATTGACAATCTTCGGAGTGGAGCGACTCGCTTCGCTTCTGGCTTCCGGGTGTTTTGGTTCACGCAGCAGGTTGGCCACAGCGGCCAAGGGCCTTCATTGGGGGTATATCTTCGGCCAGTTTTACCCGCAACTTCTCGTTGACCGCAAAAAGATTCTCCCCTTTTCCGGGGGGAGGGGTCCCAGCCCCTTTTTCGGGCGGGCGGGTGGGTGGTTGCTGGGTTTTTCTCCCGCTGCTTTGCTCGGCTTCGGCCAGGGACGTACGACTTTGTGCTGCGGAGCATGGACCAGGCTAAGCTCCGAAAGGGTTCGATTCTTCCGAACTGCAACGAGTTGGTTGCCGTCCGCCGAACTTTTGGGGTATCCGCCCAACCGGGAGCTTTGAAGGGGGGGAGTTGAACAGAGTTCTGGGCGGAAGTCCACTAAAGTGGTGGGTTTTCTTTTGGTTTCTCTTTAAATACTAACCAACACGGGGTTCAACCATTTGGAGAAACTCCGCGGAGTTTGAAGCCAAGAGTTGGTTCAGGGATTGTGCAGCAGGACATTGCAGAGAAGCGGCGCCGGGCCTTGCTATGTGTGTTTTCCGCAAACCCCACGTAAGCCGCAATTTTGTCATTCACCCCCACTTGGTCATTTCTTTTGCGCAGACTCCGTGGCTCAGTTTGAACACTTCGGCAGAAGCTCAATGCATTCTTCTCCCATTGCCATTGTTGGCATTCAACTGTTCGAATTGTGGGGATTTTCAAAAAGCGAGAGGAGATCAGCAAACCAAAGCCAGGTCAGTCAGTCTGTCTGCCTGTTTGTAGGGAATGACCTTCCGTTGGGAATGAACCTGGGGGTTCCCTGACCACCAAACGGGAATGGTTTGTCTCGAGGTCCTTCCAACTCATTCCCCGCTGGAACCAGCAAGTTATTGCTTGAGACCGTCCTCTCAGGGTTTATTTTGATCCCCAGAGTCTTGGCTTTTTGTTGATCCGGGTGTCGGTTTCTTTTGATCCAGCACCCGTCCTCTCATGGGTGGATACACTTCAAAAACTCACCCCCCAAAAGGACGCTCTCGCTTGCTCCCGGCTTCGGCTTCACCTCGCGACTGGATTCGATACAGTAGACAACGAACCAGCCAGCTTGCCGGACCAACAGATAGGTATATGATATAAGTGGTTCTTAGATGTTTGGTTGTTGGTTGTTGGTTGGCTGTTTGTCCTTGTAGGTTGGGGTGAGAGATACTGTGGATGGACGAAATCCTGCACCACCTAAGAAACCCTGGAATGATGATTCCCCTTCAAATACCCAACAAACCCTCATGGTTTCCAATACTTGCATTTCGTGGTGCGAAACGGATTTCGCCGAACCATCCACACGCAAAAAATCGATAGATCTCGTGGCCAGGCGGACGCGGACCAGGTGCCCTTCTTCGTGACGCTGGGCCTGGCTCCGGCCGTCGAAGTCGCGGCCGCGGCCAGCGCCTGCGACGGCTCCGCCAGGAGCCGCTCGCGCGCGCGCGCGCGAGTCGCTCGAAGGGGTCGGATGGGAGGGGCGCTCCAGGCGAAAAACGAAAAAAAAGGCCCGAGGTGCCCTGGTTTCCGGAAGATTTATAGAGGTTCATGTCCAACAAGGGGTGGATTCAACTTGAGAAACAGCAGGTTCTGGTTTCCAAAAGTTTGAACAGGTTCAAACCCTCAAACTGGGGTTGATTCAACTTGAGAAGCGGCAAGGCAGCCAGACATTAGCTTTTGGTTTTCAAAGTGTTCCTTTGAATGGACTGTCTGGGAGGTGCCATGGTCAAACAGCGTGCTGCCTGGGGATGGTCCAGTCTTTGGTGAGGGTTTGAACATTGTGGTAAGGGTGTCGATTCAGGGAGCAATGGCCACAAGGGATATGAGGGCAAAGGAACTCCGAGAGATGTCTGGGGACCCTGTTCCACTTGCTCCGTGGACCAGACATCCTCCCTTGCTTTCCTCTTGCCATGACGCTGGCTTGAGACACGAACACCGGGATCTGAATGACTCTTGGCAGTTTCTCCAAATGGAGCTCTTTGAGTTGGTTTTCGAAAACAGGCAAGAGCCAATGGAAAGCCAATTCCTACTTCATGATTTCGCTGATGGACCTTCCCTGGCAGCTCATTGGGCCCGGAACCCACACGGCAAGCCAGGATGATGGACCTGGGGGGCGCCGATACCTCCGAGAGCGCTTGGAGATGGAAGCGGCAGCTGCCGCTGGGCTCTGGATGACTTTTTCTTCGAGCGGCGCGCCCCCAGAACAGGGGCCCCTGGTAGTGGATCTGCAAGAGATCAAGCAAAACCAAAAAAACCGACTGCTTTTTTGGGGGGCTGTGAAAGGGAAGCCAAAAACAAAGCCATGATTACTGTGGACAGGATGCTGCACTAGTTGGCATAGCAGGGGAGAGATCAAGCCCCAAGACCACACAACAAGTTCACTACCACGGTCCCCCGGTCTCTCAGCGTCTTTTTGTGGGCTGTGCAAGGGAAGCCGAGAACAAAACCACCATACTCTAGTTGGCATGGCTGGTTTCTGCTTCCTCCCCCCCCCCGAACGCCCTCTTCGACCACCTCTGAAGTGGTTCCTTGTTGAAGTTCATAGCCATACGTCAACCTTCAATCTACCACCCCACCGCACCCCTCCCCACCAACCCCTCCCCTTTTGTTGGGGGCTGTGAAAGGGAAGCCAAAAGGAGAACCACCATACTGTGGACGTTGGTATAGCTGGTTTCTGCTTCCTTTCCCGCCTTTCCCCCACCCATCCTCCTCTTCGACCACCTTTGAAGCCCTTCGACCTATCATACCCAGCCCCCACCCACTCCACCCCACTAACCTCCCCCCCCCCCAACCGCACCCAGGAACCTGCGGTCGCTGCCGGCGGCCATGAAGCTGCCGCTGAAAGTGGCGCAGCCCTCCATAGCAGCCTGGCCTAGGCCAAGGCCTCCCTCAAGCGGATGCCCAAAACCGAGTCCCTGAGGGCAAGTTGGGTAATGTTGGCCCCATATTACTCAACCCCGGTTTATTCATAGGGGGTGGCCCCTAAAAAAGTGGTCTGATTCCAATCACATGTCACCCAGGGAAAAGCACCCCCCCCAATAATAAACTGGGGTTGATGAATATGGGGTCAACATGAGGGGTCAAAGTTAGACCACCAGGAATTGGACGGTACGGGTTTTAGTCCTTGGTACCCATTTACCAGGCTTCTATTTGGGGTACCTATTTTGGACCCATATTTTAGATGGTGGTTCGGTTGGATCCTGGTTGAGTTGCGGTTGTAGCAAAGCCTGTATAAGAAGCCCTTCCTATCCGTCTTGAACCGAACGTCAGTTCGGGCTCCGGGCGCTGCGATTCATCCGGAAGAGCTTCCTAACCCGGATGGTTGCCCCCTTTCTTCGGCTCCGGAACTCAAAGTTGTCATCTACGGGCCAGGATCTAAATGTTGTTTCTAGCCTGAGTCCAAAACCTGCCATTTGACCTTTTAGCTTGAACCCGTTTGGTCCAGTTTGGTCATGGCCTAAAAAGGTTGACTTGTTTTTCTGGGTCCTTCGGGCAACTGAGTTGGGGTCAAAGCTGCTGAGCCACAATCCAAGCCATTTTGAGTAGATGAAGATTAGGGAGACAGTCCCTTTCCTACAAATTCGTTTGGATACAAGGCTGGTTGAGGTGCTTGGGGTAATCCTTCCTCAAGGCTGCTCTTTATGGTTTGACGCACGGAGATATGTGTCAATATCCCGGGACCCCAAACAAAAATGGTCCTTTTCCTTCTTATGTCCCTTTTAAGCAAGGCGAATCATGAGAAAAACATGACACCCAGATGTCGCACATCCACTCTTGAGTCAAATTGAGAGGTGAGCCGCGATACTTTCTTTGGTGTAATACCTGGGCGGGCCGCTTGCGTGGAAGCGGGTTTTTGCAGCGTTCGTGAGCCTTCAGGCTGATGGGGGGTCCCCTTTGGTGTCACATGGAGGTCACTATGCCCTTCAAGTCTTCGCGGCTTTGTGTCCTGTAAAGAAAATCGGCTTCGCCCCTGTAGCATCAAAGGTTCTAAGAACCTTCTTGGGGGTTCTTAGAGAAGTTGGCGCAGCCCACTCGCCGTGATGATGAGCATTGATAGCCTCCTTCTTTGGTCACGGAAGAGTCAGTATGGCAATGATGTCACATGATCCCAAAGCAAACATCATTGGCATGCGTAGGCTTGTCTGGGCGAATTAGTTTGTGTCCTCCCAAAGGGTTTAATCTATAACCTCACCCATGTGAGAAGGTTCCTCCCATAGGGAGCATGTGCTTGGGATTAGTGAAGCATTAGATACTGTTCAACCACAATTCGTGCAGTTGTGTGCGTGCGTCTCAAATCTGCTGGCGCCCCATCCAAGCGGAAGAGCCAATTGAACACACCAGGAGGTTCTTGCGCCATAGATTCGGTCAAAGTCTCTCTATCTATCTCTCTCTCTCTCTCTCCTCTGAATTTCCCACACAAAAAAAGCGGAACTCTCGAGCTGTCCCATGCATTTCACACAACTCTCCAATTTTCACATGTCCAACGAGACTAAGCCGGCACGTGCCTGGCGCCAGCTTCCAAGGTGACCATCTCGGCCTGGTCGCCCTTCGTGCATCATTACGCCGCGAATCTCAGAGCGATTCGCGAAATGACTGTGGGTCAAAAATCGGTACCCCAAATGGAACCCTGATCAGTGGAAACATGGACCAAAACCTGCGGTCCCCTGGTGGTTTAATTTTGACCCATCCCCAAATGGCACCTAGATTTCTCTTTTTGGTGGTTTTACATTACACCTTTTTTAGGTGAGTTTCCCTTTGTACTGATGCAAGGGTGAATATGGGTCTCCCTCGTCATTGCCGACTTGCCAATCTTGTGCCATCCTCGTCAAATGCATTCGCGGATTGGGTGTACCCCGCTTTTTTCCCTTGCTGGTGCTTCTCCAAGGTAATGGGGATCATGGTTGCGTGGGTGTCCAACTGGAAAACAGTGCTTGACAAGTGCTGGTAGTTCAACGTAGTGCAGAACAACAAAGCGCATTTCCGCAGGTTTGGGCCATTCCCCTGAAACCAAACCAACCAAAGGGAGGCTTTCAATGGACCGAACTTGAATGCACCAGCTCGGCGCCCCGACAGTTGGTTTCCGAAGTCCCTTTGTCGTTCCACCAACGGACGTGCACAGACTCCTCAAGGGCTTCCACGAGAGAGGGGGCGTTCAAAGAAGGTCTTCAACTTTAATTACGTGCGTGTTCGACTGTACCCAAAATGGCACCAAAGACAAGAACCTGCGTAGTGGTTCCCAAATTGCCCCGAGCGTTCTAGTGGATTTTGGGCCCCCATGTTTGGCCCTCAATCCTGTTGAGACTCTTCTGGTGGAACCTTGGGACTTCGGAGTCTCCCATTTACCCTCAGGGCTCCAACTCCAAATCCAAATCCAACCCAAACCACCACCAAAACGAAGACTCCGTCTTTGGTCATAAGGTGCGCGTGGCGCTGGTCACCGAGGAGGGTCTCTGGGTGGGGGAGCAGCGCGCCAGGCCGGGTGACCGGTGACCGCATCACGGGAGAGGTTTTGTTTGTTTTCTTCGCAAGGCTCCGGAGGTGGGGTTTCCGTTTGTGAAAGGGTGGGTTTCCGTTTTTTGAAGGGCGGATTCCCTTGGGAAACTCAGGAAGTGGGGTTTCCCTTTGTCTCAGTTGTTCAGTGGCACCAATTCTTTTTCTTTTTTTGCTGGATGGGCTGCCCCACTAAAAATGGTCTTCCCGCAAAAGGGTTCATTTTTTTCCCAGGGTCGCTGAACAACTGAGTAAAAGGGTGGATTGCCTTGGGGAAGTCACAAGCAGAGGAGTGAGACGATGGTGTTCACTAAGCCAACCTTTATGCCTGTGTTCCCAAAGCAAGTGTATTGTCAGTGAAAGGTTTCAATCTGGGTGGCTTCTCAGCCTTGCTTGTCTTTGAGAAGAAAGGCTTTTCAATCACATCACCAAGTTTTTCAGGAACACCGAGAATTGGGGAATGTGGTTTGTCTTTGTAAAGCAACTCCCCAAAGCAAGTCCCAAGCACTATAAGGTTTCCCTTCAGCTTAAAACTACCCAAAGAAAGAGCCTAGGAGATTAATTGATTCCTTTGGTTTTCCTTTGATTGCCCTTCGGAAAATTCCTTCCCAACCTAGGTGGCGAATTTGAATGAGTGGTGGGCAAGGGCTTTGCCTGGCTGATTGGGATCATAGCAAGGCCTATGTACACTGCAGACCTTTGTAAACATTCTGAAAGAACCAAAAAGTCAAAGGGGTCTGTACTTGGGAATGGTTGGGCTAGTGTCCCTTTGGATATCCTTAAATTTTTAATTAGGTGATACGTTTTTGTTTGAGAATGACTAGAACACCCTCAATCATGCTCATGAACACGTCCATGGGTTGCCCGAGAGGGGTTTAACAAAATGCATCATGTTTTTTGGAACCGCCTGTCTTAAACTGAGAGCCACTTTCCTAGGATGTGCTGTTCTCAACCACACCGTGTATATGCCTAGACCTACCATGGCCCAGATGCCAGGGAAGAACTGCCTATATGAAGTGTCTGGGATTGCTTTCGCTCAAAATCGGCCAAAGCGGGGCCGGAGCCCACATGAGGTTCTGACAAAATTCCTAGTGCGCCTTAAAAGATACATTTTAATTTTGCCCATTTGAAACATGGCTTTTTCCGCCAAAATAAAGGGAAACCACCATTTACAAGCCAATGCTCAGGTGTATAATGTAAGGATCCCTGCTATGGTCCATTTGGGACGGACCCGTTGTAGCGTCACCGGGCATGCGGTCGGTGGCTGAAACGGAGACTTCACAAAAAGTCAGGATGCCCTGAAGCTCCATGGAGTTTCCAAAACAAAGGGGTTGGGAAGCTGTATGACTCAGTCAAACGGGCTAATGTCGACCCCATATGAATCATCCCCAGTTTACTAATAGGGGTGTGTGGTTGGGTTTAGTGGGGAATCATCACGGTTGGAGGGCCCCCACCCCTCTATGCATAAACTGGGGTTGATTAACATGGAGTCAGCATGAAACAAGAACATGAGCCCGTGGCCCACCATGTTTCGGAGGCGGAGCGCTCTGGAGATCGAGCTTCCGCCGGGCAGTTTCCAGATGGTGGTGGAGGACGGGTTCGGCCTCGGGCCAGAGGCAAAGATGGTCATGAAGCCCTTCTATCAAAAACAAAGCAAACCGCATTCCGGAAGCATGACCATGGCCGACCAAGACTCGCCCGTATGTGCATTGGTCAAAGCACCCTTTTTTGTTGGGGGTGGCGAAGGACATGGACCGTTCAATGGAATATTCCGACGGCCCTAAGGGTTCCCATTCAGGGAAGCCTTCCTTTGGTTTTTGTAGGGATAGGCATGGACAAGCAATACAAGGATCCCTGATAAGTTGATAAGGGGAGTTGGAGCATGGCCCACAGAAAAGAGTGTGGCCCGTGGCGCATTTTGGCTACTTCCGATTCTTGGCTGACATTTTTTTTTCGCATCGGATAGTCGAAACACAACTAGGTCCCCCAAAAATGTGCCCTTTTACCCCTTTTTTTGGGGAGGGTTCCCCTACTAAAATAGACAAAACCGAAAAAAGTTGGTGCCCTTATTCTAACCTCTCTACTGGAGGACCTAGACAAAGCCCGGGTGTAAAATCTTTAAGGGCGTCCCTTCCTCTCGAGCCCTTCGTTACGAATGTTTTTCCTCACCTTCAGGAGCCTTCCCCGCTACGCCCCGCGCCGGAGGGATGCATGGCCGTGGGCGTCGCGGCGGCCCGGCGGGGAAGTTTGCGGCGTGCCGGGATAGTCTTGATGGGGACGGCCCAAACCTGGGGCAGCCCAAAACATACTGTTAGATGAGGCAAAATCAAAACCCAGGTAAGCGAAGGTTAGGGAAAGTCCCAGCAGAATCAGTTGCGACCTTTGTAGTTCTTCACATTTGTTTGGGTACACCATTTTAATACTCAGATGGTACGTACTCAAGACATGTTTGGATCTGTTTCGTCTTTTCATGGTTCTTTTTTTCACGTTTTTTTTTGCTTCTTGCCATCATTTCCTCGCTGAGCTGCAGCCCCACCCCAACCACAGTGGCCCCAGCGGATCCCCGGCATGCTATCGTAGGTGACGAGACAGTTGTTTCGGTTTTACAGGCTGGCTCCTCAGTTTCCCTTTTTTGGACCTCCAATTGCAAGAAACGACCAAGGACCCCCACCAGTAAAATGAGAAACTTTTGTAGGGAGTGACATTGAATTGCTCTCGAGGGAAGGTCCGCTGCCCTGATCCATGGCCAGGTGGGTGGGAGGAGGTGGGTGCTAAGTAGGGGGGCTCTGCAGAAATCGACAAATACCAATCTCCTTTGGCTCTTGGGTGAATCAGAAAGATCATGGGCTAAAAAGGCATCTAGGAATATTGGTAATACCTCCTTGCCGCAGCTTCTGTGCTTTAGGCTGTTTTGGGAAGACCGGCTTTTTGGCAATCGCGTTTGAACGGCTTTGGGTCATCGCAGAAGGAGAGGTTTGGCCTGTTGAAGCCTGTCACTTCCAGCTACCACCAGAAGCTCACGACAAAGTGGGTGTGCTGGCCATTTCCCCTTACATTCACTTCCTGAGTTTCTGGATAGTCACTTTTTGGGTTCGGACCATTCTAGTGGTAAACAACAAGTTTGGTGACTCTTTTTTGGGCCATCCACTCGATCGGAAGTGAGTACGGCCTTAAAACCATCAGCAAAATGGGTACCCTCCAACAAAACAAAACATCAACAACATAATGTGAATTTTGGCAGCCTCGAAGAAGCGACTGGCCGACCCATTCCCCCCGCCCCCCTGACCTGCCGTCACTGAGTCCAGTCGGCCGAGGTGAACTTAGTGCCCTTCACCTCGGTGGAGCGCCCCCCTGTGGTGGGCCAGGTGGCTCTGCAGGCGGAACCCGGGGTTTGACCTCTCATCGCGCATGGCATGCGGGGCATGGAGCGTGGGGTTCCCTCCGAACCGGGTGGTCCAGCACACCGTGCGCCCCTTTTTTATCAGGCCAGAAAGCCTCCGCAGCAAGTTGCGCGCCTCCTTTTTTATAAGCCAGAGATGGACGAAAGCACGGGTCTTTGGAGTGAGGGTTGCGGCTCTTCTGTTTTTTTTTGCAGGCGTGAGACAGCAACTTCGCACCCCACCCCCCCCTGAAACCCCCCGACACCCACCCCTCCCCCTAACCTCCCAGGGACAGAGCGGGACCGGCAGGCCCCCACGCGGTTCCTGGGCGCCGGCTTGGGCCTGGGCGCCGCCTGCGACTCCCTGGGCGCCGTGCCGCTGCCGCTGGAGCGATCGAGCGAGGTTTCTGGGAGTTCCCACAGTCGGGGGGTCTCCGTGGTGTTTTCTTGGTTGGTAGAAGACCAAAAGGAGACTGTTTTTGTTTGTGGGGTTGTTTGAAAGAGAATCCCAAACGAAAAACGAACCCCAACTCTATGGGACTTTAACTTTTTTGAGGGCGCTTTTGGTTTTCCCTTTGAAACCAAGCAAAAAGCGAACGTACCTCAAAAAAAGACACCATGTGGCGATCCCTTTTGCTTGGTTGGATCCAGTTCTTGTTTCAGGTCCCGGACCAAACCAATGCTTTGCTTGCAAAACAATTCAATCTAAAGGAAACCGCTCACCAATGTTCTACTTGGAAAACTAAACCTAAAGGACACCAAACCAATGCTTTGCTTGGAAAAGCAAACCAAACCAAAAAGCGTGAATGACTTGAGGCGAAATTTGCGTCAGGACGTGATCAGCAGCACCGGGGGCTCCAGCGCCTACGGGGGGCCCATCGATTCGGAGGGCCGGCTGCTCCTGCGGGAGCGGGTGATGCTGAGCCTCGGAGCGAAGGATGGAAGTAATGCTAACCCCGGATTAAGCAGAACCCCTGGTTGATGAATAGGTTGGGGGGTGCTTTTCCGTTTTTGGTGGGGATTCAGACCACTTTTGGAGGGAACACCCCCCTAATAATGGGATGGGTTTATTCATCCTGGGTCAACATTATCCCCAAGAGCGAGCGGTATCCCACTAACATAGCAACTGACAGGAAGTATCCCCAAGAGCGAGCGGTAGGTACCCTCCTTCCCACTAACATAGCAACTGACAGGAAGTATCCCCAAGAGCGAGCGCTAGGTAACTGGTTGAATTCCCCTGTCTGACGGGTAGGCCCAGTTGGACAGCCAATGGTGTTTGTTTCTCTCGTTACTCTTGAGAGGCTTGGTTTGCTCGGAGCCTGAGTCTTATCCCTGGAGCAGAAAGAAGCCTGGCTAGAAACGATACGTCCTGCGGCGAGTTTGGGAGTGAAAATTCCTGGAACCGAGTTGGGTCTGTCGTTTTTCCTTTTGGGGTTGGTTTCAATGGGAAACCAAAGGGCAAGCCACATTTCTTTTTGGGTCGGGGGTCCCCTATTTTACGACACACCCATGTTATCATTGGAGGTCAACTATGTTAGTCTTACTTGCTGAAAGAGTTTAAGTACTGGAGTTATTTTATGCTACCCTGAACGAATATAAGGCTAAGAAAAGCCGAGTTGTCAACAAGCCATTTGGGTGTGGCTCAAAATTAAACAGGAGGGGTTACGCAGGTGTTGGTCCATGTTTCCACTTACCAGGGTTCTATTTTGGTACCGGTTTTTTGGAGCCACAGCCATGGTTTTCAGCCGGGTTCTTATCACGGCATCAGGACAGACATCCACGACGGCCGGAAGAAGATCTTCTTGCGATTACCCCCGGCGTCCATGCTCAGGCGGTTTTCGCGTGCCGAACTTCTTCTTTTTTGCGGTGGTCTCCACTTTTACTCTTTATTATTCTTCTTCTTCTTCGTCTTCTTCTTCTTCTTCTTCTTTTTTCCGGTGGTTTTTTCGGGGTTTGCCTAGATGTCCCCTTCTTGGGTGGTTTTAACATCAGCTTTTGGGCGCATGGGGACTGATGTTTTAATTTTGTGCCTCACGGGCTGGTTACAATATTCCCCATGCAAGCCTCTTGGTGGACAAACAATTCCCACCCAAATGATGCCCACCAAAGGGTGCCCCAACCAAAAGTCATACCCAAGCCAGAGGTGCCCAAACAACGTGTCTCGGGATTGATTTCTTTAAATGATGTGCGGGCCCAGCATTCATCAACCCCTTGCAGAATACGGGGGATGTTCCATTCAAGAGGGGATTCATCATTTTCCACACGACGCACCTGCCTACTGTCAGCAGCTAGGTCTGTGGAATCGTTCCTTTTCGTGATGCTGCTTGACAAAGACCATTTTGGGGCAAACAACAAGCTCCAACTTTTTGGGCCAGCCCGCTTCCCCTGCCCAGTACCCTTCTTTCCTTGTTTTGAAGATTGACTGCTATTGGGTTGGATCTTTAGACTTGAACTGTTTGGGGAAATCAAGTTGGGGGGTCAACCGCAACCAAGGAAGATACACTTCCCTTTTTCATCCCTTTTCCCAGCTTAGCGCTTGGCCAAAAAGATAGGCTCTTGGGTTTGGGGATCCCGCCTGGAGCACTGTGAGATGTGTCAATACACTAGGTCCCCCAGAAATGTGCTCTTTCTCACCCTTTTCTTTTTTGGTTGGGAGGGTTCCCCTACTAAAATAGACAAAACCACGAAACAAAACATACATAAATCGGGTACCAACTTTTTCTAATCTCTCTACTGGAGGACCTAGTACAACTCCAGCAGTCCGGGACTGAGCGAACGACAGTCTCCAGGGCTGCGGTGGTCTCTGGCGACACGGCGTCGGTGGAGGCGCGCTTTTCGGAAGCCGTCGACTTGGATTTTTTGGGGTCGGGGGAACGAGTGACGTTGGCTGGTCCTTGCACAGCCACCTGTTCGAACAGCAGTGGCAACGTGCAATTTTCCCTAGATATCTATTGTTGGATGCCACTCCACAGTTCCCCGCCGCGCCTTAGTCTTGCTTTGGATGGGCAAACTCCTGCACCAGCTTTGAAACCATAGCTGAAACCATTGTTGGTTGGTATGTACAGGGGAATCATCATTGCAGGGTTTCTGAACGGTGGTGCGGAAGGGATTTCACAACCATCCGCAGTACTGCCCCACACGCGGGCTGGACAGTCAGACGAGTTTTCACAACCCTATGGTCTGCCAGCTGGGCTACGTAGCCAACCTTTTTTTGCCAGCAACATGCTTTCAACTTTTTGCAGAGGCCTAAGTATGAATCAGCTATTACCCCTTTCTTCACTGAAATGGTTGGGTAGAAGACATTTGAATCCTAGGTTTAAGTCAAACCACTGTCCTCCCCCTGCCCCGCAATGGACGAATAGGGCATGTTAGGACTGGTAAGCCACTCTGCAGGGACCGGAAGCAGTTTGAGATGAAAGAGGCCAAATGAGGCCACCATATTGTGGATGGACAAAATCCTGCACCACTTTGAAAGTATTGAACACCATCCTTTATTGGTATTTCCAGGGGAATCAAACCATTCCAGGGATTCTGAACGGTGGTTCGAAATGGAGTTCGCAACCATCCACGGTAGAGCACACACACACACACGCTGCCATGAAGAATTCCGGGCGGACTCAGTTTCAGACACCCACACTGCACGAGATTTGTCTTGGGGAGCGCTTGCAAAGTGGTTGGTGGACATGATTCCCCATATCACTAAACATGCAGCCTGACGTTCGAGGGGTCCTGGAAGATCATTTGCCTTTCAAAGCGACTCCCGAACGTCAGGTTCCATTTTAGTTGGTGGGAGGGTCCCCCAATTTTCATCAACTAACCCTCAAGAGTGCTTGACATGATTCCCCATGTACATGATGTTCACCATTGGGATTGGGTCTTGAAATTGAAATCAATGAAACGTCTTTCGCCACCGTTCCAAGGGTACCTTCCCCATTCTTTCCAGGGGTCCTTCTTTCTAGAAAACCATCGGAAACCCAGGCAATCGGGTCTTTTTTCAAAAGAACGATGGTTGAAAAGAATGGAAAAGGAATCAATAGAGACATGGGAAAAAGCAACCACTGTCGCTTTAAAAACACCAAAAACAGGGGCACCCAGCCGCAAAACCAGGGTTATTCTCTACTGATCAGGTTGGAATCAACCCCTAGAACCGTGGCAGTTTGTTGTTCGGTTCTCGGCTCACCTGAGAGGTGGTTCTGGAGGATAGCGGGCACACGCAGATCCATCCGGCGCCGCGGGCGAGAGTTTGGTGGGTTTCTGACATTTCTGGGGATGTTTGGCGTTTGTTTTTTGTGTGGGCTTCTCGGGATTTTGGTGGGTTTTGGTGGGGTTAAGAAAGGATTTGGCCCCCTTTAGTGGTTGTACAATTGGCAGCTTTTGCATTAGGATTGGCCAACACTCCATTCTGAACAGCCTTTTGAAAATGGATTCCCGAGGAAACCTTGACAATTGCAGCAGTCTTGGCTTGTGGGCTGAAGTCTGGTCTTGGAGACTTTGGGAGTTGTTCGTTGGCGGACTTGTTTAGAAGGGGCAAGGATCGGTTTGAGGTGTCTCAAAGCCAACTTTGCGCTACCTTTTGGTCAGTATTCAGCCAGTCCTAACAAGTGCACACTTTCTAAGCTCTTTGGGCAGAGTGTCCGTGCTTGCAGATTGCGGTCAAGGGAAAAACACACCTATACATGGGTGTCGTCAAACAAAACCCTCTCATTTTGTTGAGTGGAAAGGAACGTTTGAGCAATTTGACAACCTCAAGAAAAAGATCCCTTTAATCTATGGGGACAACGGACTGGTGGAGTAAACAATTCCCCCCATTGCCCCTGCATTGGTAAATGTACAACCTTGAGCCTAGATGTTAAGATTTTCACATGTTAGCACAGCGCACAAAAGCTGCTACTAGGGGGGCGAACGAAACTTAAGATAGCCAAACGACACAAACACCTCAAATTGGAGGAGACGTTGTTCTAAGTGTGGTTGGTTGAATTTTCTCGAGTGTTGGGGCTCATCCATCCCAAAAAAGAACTGCTGGGGGATGTGAATTCCGAGATGTTCTGTTGTGGCGCGCATCTTTTGATGTTCCACGGTTGCTCATGTGCGTCACAATCAAAACCCGGGTAGATGAAGGTCAGTAAGGGACAATCCCCTTGCCATAAATAGTTCTAATTCTTTACTTGGTTCTGGGATTACAACCATTTTAATACCAGGTTTTGATTATGACTCATGTGTCTCCCACAGTTGCTTCCCAACTTCACCACTTGCGAAGCGCCACTGAGCGCCACTGAGCGCCACAGGGCCCGTTGCCCCGCCTTCAAGCACCACGTTCAACGCAGCTCCAGCACCTTCCCTGGCACCGGACGTGCCCAGGTCTTCGTCGATAAGGCAGAGGTAGTGGAGTTTGCCGTGTGTCACAACAGAGTTGCGTGTCAGCTTGAGGGGCAAGGTGTGCGGTGCTCTTCGCGGCTCGAACTCTTCGCGGGAGGAAATCGCACAGCGAGCTGGGTGCCGGCAACGCGCGGGAGGGGAACCGGCAACGAGCGGACCTCTTGCGCGCTGTGGACTCCCGGCCTGCTTCGCGGCGCCGAGAAACATCCCCCCCCCCGCCCCAACGACGCGTGAGGGTAAGCACGGCACTGAACCTCCCTGTGAAAAACTTGGCCTTGCCACCTCACACGCATCATCACTCCAGCAACCACTCAGCGTGCTCTGCTGTTGGCCAAGCAAAGCTCACCCCCCCCCCTCCGATTCCTACATTCCTACAGCCTGCACATGTGCCAAATGCTATGTATATGCCTGTACGTGCATTTGTCTCGCACTCGCCCTTCCGCACTCTTCTGCGCACGCTGTGTGTTCGACCATCTACACAAAGTTCCACCAATTGCAACATTCCCTCTTAACTCAGCAAAACTCCCTTCACCGCAACCAGCTTTCCCCTACCAATCCGCAAGCTGGTTGGGTTTCCCTTGCTCAGACGTGGTGCTTGACACATGTTTGGTTGGCCCAACTCTCAGGTGGATTCCCACGTGCTGGGTGCCGGGCAAGCAGCCAGCTACATTCTCGAGGTGCCAAGTCGGAGACTTGAGCTCAACCTGTTTGATTTGTTCTGAATTTGGTGGACCAACAGTTTGGTTGGTGTTTAGTTGTTCTGAAGTTGGTGGACCAACCAAAATGGTTGGTGTTTCATTTGCCCTCCAGTTGGTGTTTGGATTCGTGGTTTGGTGGAGGAGGGGTTTCCCAGATAGAGTTGATGTGAGAACGCGCAGCGGTTGCACTGTGTAGCAAACAACATGGGCAAAATGGCCGCGCCATTTGGGCTCGAGTCACCGAGTTGTTTTTCTGATTCGGACATTTGATGCCAAGCTTGCATAAACGAAGGGAAAGCAATAGGAACACTCGGATTACCTTGTACCTTGTTTGAAACCAAATCTGCACTCAGTTTGCTCAGGTGCATGACTTGGGTTTTGGAGTGTGAGGTCATTCACACCCCCGAAGGGATTAGTGACCATCAACATAATCCGGGGTGGCCTTAGCCCTTGTTGGGTGCACTTACGCATATCTTGGTGCCCTTTTCGGCGCTGATTTTTGTACAGGGAACATCGGGGAACATCCTCATGGTTGGCGTGCAGCATGGATTTCTGTGCACCAAAGGGTTCCCCGTTGAACTACCCATTTGGATCTGTTTGACAAAAGGGGAACCGTTGGATCAAGGAGGGATCCATCATCCAAGTGGTCCTTAGTCAATGTTGGGAGCTTCCTCATTTTTGAGTCTGCGAACATTAAGTCGTCATCACCTGTCGAAAGCAGGAGGTTTCAGGACTCGAGTTGATCCGGGTGTCCCAGCGTGTTGCAGTTTTCTTTGGAATTGGCGACCGATTTCCGGAAGAGACTTGGTCCCATTTGGGTCACATTTGACATCTTATATCCTCCATGATGATGTGGGCGGGTTTCTTCAAATCGTGGTCCTAATATTGGCTGGCTGGCTGTTGGCTTGCCTTCAAATACCAGCTTAAAGGGGGTGCACCATTTTTTGAGAAAGGCCCATATTTTGGCGGCTTGTCAATTCCAGCGTGACTCATTGTCCAAGTTGCAACGATAACTTTCCACAACCGAAAGCCTCTTATTGGCTACCTGGATCATGTTTTTTCCAGGAACCTGAACAAGCAGGCCTTTGGCTGCATCGAACTTGAAGCGGAAGAGTCCGCAAAGTCCCTTGATTGGATCCTGCCTAGCCAAGTTTCTGCCCACCAGACACCTCCAAATTCCCCAAAAAACATCAAAACAAATCCCCATACACCCGTGTTTGCCTAGCCAATTCCCCAAAAACACGAAAAGGTCACAGCTGTTTGATCTGCACCAGAGCGCGGCTTCGCAGGCCGGTGGCGGCTTGCCGGGCTCCTCAGGATGTCGAAAGTCGAACGCATCAAGTCTTCGCTGCTCTTGGCAAGTTCTGAAGGCTGCAGGAAACAAGGGTTTTTGCAAGCCCATACCAAGGGTTGTGAAGAAGTGTATGGAAGGGGCATTTCCCCACGGCACCTCAACATGCCCAAGGGAATTAAGGTGTAACGACTCACTTCCTGAGTTCCGCGAAAAGAAGAATTGAGTTTGAGCCACTTTTTGAGAATTTGTCAAGGGGGAAGGGCCCGCCCAAAGGAAATGGGGGCTGGTCCACTGTGGTTGTGCTCCAGGTTTGTAAAATTGTTACCGGGTTCCCGCTTAGCTTGAACATGGTGTCACTATTTTGCGGGCGCTGGGTTAAAATGGATGAATGGAATGCGGCGGCTGTCCATAGTCTCAGAAGAATCACTGCACGGGGCCGCTGTTGGAAGGATTGCCTCTGAACAGCCCAGCAATGTGGCCATGGGTCAAAATCCAAAAGCCCGTGGTTCCAGTGAACATCCCAATCCAACCACTAAAATAGGTTCTTACATGAGTGGTGAATTCCCCTACCCCAAAATGGGATCCCATTGCCTCTGAACAGCCCAATGTTGATCCCTACCCTTGTGCTCAGTGAGGAATGACTTCTGACGAGAAAAGAGGACTTGATTCCACGGGAGTTCTGTGCCTGTTGAGTCGCATGGAAGAAAGGCCTACTAAGCCTTGGGGTCCCAAGAAGGCTACAGCAACCCCTACTTCACTATTCTTGGCATGCTTTTTGGTTTTTTAGTTATTTTGGTTCTGTTCATTTTTACTGGGGGTCGGCAAAAAAAAAAGTTTTTCGCTACCATACCAAGAGTGGAGGTGCCTAATTTGGCCTTAAACCCTAGAGGTTCTTGTACCAAGCTAGTAAGTGGTTAGCCAGTCCACTAATGACAGGGTAAATTCCACTGAACGGAGGACTTATAGCCTAGGTTTAGCAACAACTTACTAACTTGCCCTTAAACCCTAGCCCTTGGGGGGTCTTGGGGGTTGATCGATCCGCTTTCCGCTTTCTTTGGATCGAGGTGGTTGTCCTTTCACAGGGAACACCGCGAGGCAATGGGCGCAGGCGAGCCGATCGAAGGATCGAAGGATCGAAGGAGAAGGGCCAAAGGCAGGGGTCCCTCCATTTTCCTATTTGGACCTCCAAAAGTGGCGATCGTTTCAGTGGAAGCCACCAGTCATTTGCCGCTTTGAAACGGGGAAATCCAGTGAGTCCCAAAATCGAAAGGGAAATCCAGCGACGTGAGGGGCGCGTCCTTTTTTTGGGACCGTATGGTTGGCTTAGGGAAGCCCGCCTGAACATATCGGGGAAGAAACTGGGTGGCGATTCCTATAGGTGTCCTTTTAGACCAACCCCCGAAAAAACAATACATTCCCCTCGTACGAAAAGGATGGTTTGTAGACCCAAAAGCATGATCAGCACGGATTTTAGACCCACAAGGGTTCCTACTCAACGGTTTGAGTTCCTGCTCCTCCACCTTCCGGGCTTCCAGACAATTTGTCGGGTCTTTGCGCAATTTCCCGGTTTCATGTGTGACTTCCATCTCCCATGTTGTTGGGCTTTTTTGGGAATTTCCAGGGTTCGTGTGTGAAAACCTTTGCGAACTCTAGCTTTGAGCTGAGGCTCAGTTTGTCAAGTCATCGTGGCTCGGGGTGCCAGACCCCCGATGGTTTCCGAATGTGTTGCAGGGTTTGTGCGCGGACGAAGCCGGGTCAGTCTGGCTCCGTTTGGATTTTCTGGGGATCACTTTTCTACTTTGGCTGGTGTCCTTTGGATTTCTTTAGGGATCGCTGTTCTACCTTGATGCCACCGTTTTTTTTGTTGAAATGCGCAGTGGAGCCAGCAGCAAGGGCAGAGGATCTGAAAGCCCAGGGTATGCTGTTCTTGCACACCAAATTGAGTTGAAGAAAGTGGGTGGCCACCTCAACTCCACCATAGTTACACTGAACGGACGATGAATGGCTGTTTCCTAAAATGAGATTCCCATTCTTGGTTGATGTTAACGGGAATAGTTTTGGTGGTGAACAACTAGGCATTGCAAACTCTGTGGGGGAAACAGTCCGTTAAGCAGCACCAAGTACAGTGAGCTCAACAAAGGGCCTGGGAATCCTTGATTCTGGTTGACATATTTCCGTCGTTGGTTAACTCTTGGCATTCTGTCGGGTAAAGTCACTAAACCCTTGGGACTTTCTGACCTGCAAACAGTGGTGTCGATGAGGTACTCAGCGCAGGTGACGAAACGACCAACGACACGGGCGCTCGAATTGAAGTTCCTGTGAGGACCCCACAAGACTATTCCAAATCCAGCCGCAGCAGTCACACTGCAACGTGCGGCGCGCCTCCTATACGTGGGTGCGTCGCATACCACCAGGCTGGAAGCTGCCTAGTTAAATGGGCAACGCGGCGGCTCCTGCGACAAAGGCGATGAAGGAAGGCGAAGAAGGGTTTGGCCAATGCCTCCCCATCCTGAAGGCCATCAGGAGCTTGGTGGTCTCCACTTTCGATGCAGAGTCTGCTTGATGGACAATGGTAGTTTGTGAACAGCCATTAAGGAACCCTAGCGGATGCTAACTCATGTAGGGTCTTTTAGGATACCCTTTTCACCTTGTTTTGAAGGCTATTTAAAGGGTATGTGTCAAAATAGGCGGCCCACAAAAATGGTTGCTTTCATTTTTGGTTTTCCTCAACCATCCCAAAAAAAGTACCAAAAAGAGACAGATCCGTTTTTTGAAATAGCCTTTTCACCCTTGGTTTATTCCCCAGATAGCTGAAAGCTATAGGGGTTCTAGCTTCTAATAAAGATTGGACAGTGATTTGCGAGAGTGACAGCAGGGTGCTAGGGGGCATGCGGTTTGGGGTACCTGTGCAGGTGCTGTTTGAGCTGGCGGTGACGGTGTGGGCACGTTTCTGCGAGATCGACGGCTGGGTGCTAGGGGGCATGCAGTTTGGGGTGGTGCAGGTGCTGTTTAAGCTGCTGGTGCAGGTGCTTTTTGAGGTGCGGTGACGGTGTGGGCGCATTTCTGCAAGATTGAGGGCAAGGTGCTAGGTGGCATGCAGTTTCGGGTGCTGGTGCAGTGCTGTGCATGTTTATTAGTTTGGTGGAGGTGCTGTTCAAGGTACTCGGCCGGGTGCTAAGCAGTTTGGGGTGCTGGTGCAGTTACTGTTGGAGGTACTGTGACCTGGGTGCTATGGGGCATGCAGTTTGGGTGCTGGTGCTTGTGCTGTTTTTGGGGGTGCTGGGCAGGTGCTGTCAGACGCTGGTGATGGTGGGCGCATTTTGCGAGATTGGCGGGGGGCGCATGTTTGCGAGAGTGACGGCCGGACTAGGCATGGGGGTGCTGATGCATTTGCTGCATTGGGTGCTGTTTGGGGCAGGAAGCTCCTCGATCAAATCCCGACCCTGTTCAACCCCGCAACCGGTGCCAAACTTCAAGCACCTATGCTGCCGACACAAGTGGAGCAAACAAAAACACTCAAGGTGTTTGTTCTTACAATTCCACACCAAGAAGCCTCTCAATTCTACGCAAGTGTCCCTGAATTTGATATGCTATTTGGGGTCTATGCTGGTGTAATTTAGCATAAGAAAGAAAACGACAGGAAAGCATTTGGGCGAATCTTTGTGTTAGGGGCCCTTTAAACCAAGAGCAAGTCTAGGGGTTGATTCCCCATTCTTTCCAACCATCGTTTCAAAAACCGAAAAGCCACGCAAGACGTGGTTTCCCCCCCCCAAAAAAAAGGGGGGAAAGAACCGCAGGCGGTTTGTAAAGGCTTCCAGAGCCACTGGGTTTGCCAGGCTGTGCAGCTTTCGAGCTGCTCTTGCAGACGGCGCCTTTGCAGGAGAGCCTCGCTCGAGTGAAGACAGGCGCCCCGGGAAATGTAGTTGTTTCTAGGAGACCTCTCCGAAATGATGGTGTTCCTTCTGGTTTCCATCTTAAGCCACAAAAACGGGCCCATTTTTATTTGTAAAATATACCATATATATATATACATATCTGTACATGTGCACATATGTACGAATGTTTCTGTACATGCTTGGATGTATAGCTGGTCGTCATACTTCTGGGTCATCTCTGGACCTTCTTGCAATGTGGAGCCAAACGAAACCACAACGTCAAACACGGGCACAGTACTTGTAGCGTTTGACAACCCGCCATATGTATATATGTATATGTGTATGTATGCCTATATGTATACATATATATATATATATTCGTGCGCATTTTCTCCCCTGCCAAAGATGCTGTTTCTAAAAGCGGATTGGCTTTGTCCGGAGTTCTGTTGCAGGAGAGTGCCTGCCTCATGTTCTACACAACCCGCACTGAGAGGCTTTTTCCAAGAGCTTGGTGCCTACATCTTGCCCTTGGGAGTTCACCACCTGTGAACGGCGTTGCGACACCGCCCGCAATGAGAAGCTTGTGCTGCGGCGCGCAGAAGCACAAGTTGGCCTGAAGGGTGCGCCAGGTGCGGATGTAGAAGGCTTCTGTGCGCGCCAGGCTCCTTGGCCGTTCCGAAAGTCAACGAACATAGGCGTCCTTGTTAGGTGAGTTTGGTTAGAAATAGATTGCGCTGGTTTGGATTGGATTTTATCCAGCTTGCCACGGCCATGCATTTCTCAAAAAGGTCGCCTATGTGAACGATGATCAACACCTGTATTGCCGCTCCACATGTGCAAGTCAGTTTCTCCGAGAGACGCGTGTAAATCGGCACGTTTTGGAGCCTAAAAGTACCAACTTGGGGATGTGCATCAGGGCTATCAATGCTGGCGATTTTATTATGGGTGCTGATTTCAAGTTCTTATTTCAGGTTTTGCAGCCATATTTTAACATTTGCAGAAAGAATATGTTTCGTCCTGCAAGTTTGGGGGTCTCCACTTTTCAGAGAGCGCGATCCTCTTCATACCTTTGGGTGGGTTCTACATCTGGCGTGTCAAAATAGGCGGGCGGCAAGAATGGATTTATTTGCCTCCCTTTGTGACAAAGAGCATCCTCAAAACACAAACCCACTTGGAGACACCAGCGCATGGCTGCGGTCAGCTCGCCGTCAGGACGTGGTGAAGATGAGCAGCTGCGGGGCGCAGCACAGCAGCTTGGCAAAGATTCTTAGCTGGGCCTCCCTTGAGCTTGAGCCCTTGTTCTCGTTTTTATTGGAGGCTTCCCTAAACATCAGCAAAAAGGGGGGTCTTTTGCACTTTCCATCATGCCACCCGCCTCCCCCTACATCAGCAAAAAGGGGGTCTTTTGCACGTTCCAGACTTCAAGGACCTCCCCCCCCCTTTCAGCCCCAGGATGCTGACTTAAAACAAAATTGGCGACCCAACATATTATATAGCCGATGGGGCACGAATTTGACTTCCCTCCCAACAACATTGGGGGGGCATCGGGTTCGCCCAGGTTTGGATATGGTGGAAAACTGCTTTCGGGATGCCCCTTTCTGCGATGCCTGGGAATCATTCCCATCCAGCGAGATCATTTCCACCAGAGGTAGGGGCAATCGGCCCACGAGTGCCCCCTGCGAGTCTTCACTGTTCTTGGCAAGTTTTTGTTTTTTGGTGGGTTGTGAAGGAGTTGAATTGGCTATTTGCATCGCAACTCGCAACCAGCTTCCGCTAGGCAGCCTGGAGGAGTTGGTGCTCAAGGCCATGGCTCGCGCGGTCTGCCGTTCTGTCAGGGCAGATGTCGTCGAACCCGCGAATCCGGGCCCGAAAGGGAAGACGAAAGGAGGTTGACACATTTGGTGCAGGCCCAAATCTGCGCAGTTCCTGGTTTTGTGGGAAGACCCATGTGGCAACCAACAAGTCTCTTCATGTTCTTGGCCACTCAGGAACTGCAGGGCCTGTTTTTTTTTTGGAGACTGGAAAAAAGGCCCGGTGGCTGACACATGGGAGACTTGTCTTTTCTTGGTCTTTTGCCAAAAAAAGAGAAACTCTGTGTTCTCTTTGGTCTCCCTTGGAAACGGCCACCAAACGGGTACCCCAGCCCTTTGGCACACTCAATGGTTCAGGTCTTTATGGGATTCGTCCAAATTTCAGGTTTGGCGGGGATGCAACAGCAGCGTTTTCTCGCGCCCTGCTCGTGTTTTTTTTCGTTGGTTTTTGTCGCGAGTTCCTGGAGCAGATGATGCAGGAGCTGCTGGCTGGGGATGCTGGGCATGCGGGAGATGCTGGCTGGAGATGCTGGAGATGCTGACTGATGATCTTGGGTGGCTATAGAGGTTTAGGTTGATTGGATTAAGTTGGACGGATCACCAGGGATGGTGGCTACAGGGTTCAGATTGGTTGGATGTGTTGTCTCAACTCCGGTTGAAACGCTTGGGAGCGACCTGGGCAAGATTCTGCCTGTCATGTGCAAGACTGTGCTTTTCGTGTGCTGGCAGCCCCCCGCTTTGAGATTAATTCACCTGGAATGACAGTTTTGGTAGGACCAACAGTCCAAGACACACTTGTTGATGATTGTAGCGAGCTCACCGATTCGGGTGTCTTAATTCAGTTTGGCCAAGTATACAGAGCAATGAGTGCAGGCGTTGCGTTTGAACCGTTTGAAGCTTCACTAAATACGGACCAGAATCCCAAACACTTCATTTTCAATGGAGGGCAAAATAGCATACTCTGCTCTAAGATCTTCAAACTTTGCAGATGATTTTTAGGAAAGGGCGAGGGAAACAACAGGATGCCAAAATTGGTAGGTGTCAGATGGAACCGCCTTGTGATTCTTGAGAGGAGGCGGTACTGTAACCCCAAAATCTGTCAGAGGGATGCTCTTTGGATCCGCAACCTTCCATGGGTTTGGATCCTAACCAATGGGCGCGTCTTTTCAATTACTTGGTGCCTGTGTGGAGATTTGAAGTGAAAGATTTTCCATATCTCAAAATGAGACAAGTGGGTCTCCAAAGTGCTTCGCCATCTTGAGACACCAAATGAGTTCCACACTTTTTGGCGGGGCGATCGCCACTTGCGGCCTGAACCGCCTCAACCCAACACGACGGGTTGCCGCGAACCTTGACCGCACCACCTCCCGAAAACAACGGCAGAAGGGCTCCTGTATTTCTAGTGTCCAAATGTTTGCCCTGTTGTTTCCTTCATAGCCCAAACTCACCTGAACTCTCAACACCAAACCAAAAGGTGGGGAGCCAACAGGTTGAAGTTCGACCTTTCGGTCGACTGGTAGAAGGGGTTCTTTGACTTACACTCACTTCCTGAGTTCATGAACTTTGAACTTTTTAGTGGCCAATATAATGTTTGGACTTTTTTGGGCCATCCACTCAGCAAGTGGGTACAGGCACAACCTGTTTTTTCATTTGTTTCCCGGAATGGTCCCTCGGGTCCTTTTCTCCCTCCTTGGTAACACCAACCCGGCGGATCCCAGAAAACTCCCACGCTCGAGAGCGTAAGCCAGTCAGAATTTCGTTTTGGTGTAGGGGTTGCCTACAAAACCAAGGGCATGAGACGTAGACAATCACGAGTGGGAAACCCAACGTTGTCACTGCCCACCGTGGCTTCACGTTCTTGGCAAGTTGTTTTTGTTGTTCTCTTTTTTTTTTGTGTGTGTGTGTTTTTTCTTGTGTGTGTGTGTTGTCGTCTTGTTGTGTTCATTTTTACTGGAGGGCTGCAAAAAGCAACCAGCTCTTTTTTCTTGGCACGCCCCAGAGCAAGAGTTGAGTTGGGCCGTGAGAGGCGCTGCAGCACTTCGGCAGCTCCACGGTGGCCTCGGCGGAGGCCAAGGTCCTCACAGGCGCCTCGGCCGGTGAGCGGGTTTCCCATGGGTCTCCCATGGCTTTTTTGGGGGACCCGGGCGGATAGGCAGGGAGTCATGGCCTTTTTTGGGGGACCCAGCAGAGTTTAGGAATATCAAGGATGAAAGCTTGACCACCGGGATGTTTGGTGATTGATCTTTCATAATGATTTTCAGGCATTTGCTTTGGTTGTGGCGGTAATTTGCTGGTGCGATAGGCAGGGAATGCCGGAAGGAACCCAGGGATTCCCTGAAAGGAAACCACAAGGGATTGTTTATAGGGGTCATTCCGTGATTCCCTGCTGAGCACCAGCAAGGTAAGGAATGCTCGAAGTCAGGAAGTCGGGGGAGTCAACTCCAATTTTGGGTTGCTTTTCCTCAAGCAAAATCACCGAAATCACAAGATCAGGAAGATTCACTCGTTCAGCGATCTCTTTTGGTCTTTGGCTTGCCAAACACCAGCCAGCAAGGCAAAATGCAGCGAAACCGCCTCAACGAGCACGGTTGCCCCGGCGTATTCCATCTGAATACCTGCATTCCGCCTGGGTGTGTTGCTTTGTTCTTGCTAATTACCCTCTTCAGGGCTGGTTGAAAGGCAACCCCGAAAGGAAACCCACCAGCCCGTCATTTTTTTGAGGTTCCGTGTTTGACACACCTCACCGTCCAGACTCGTTGAGACCGCGACTCGTGAGGGCCGGTGGGCGGCAACAGCGCGGCCTTGCATGTGGCTCTACCGGAGCCCTCCCTGCTGGAAGTTGAGGCCGGCCATGGCGCTTGGTGGTTTGGGGATTTGAAGCCCTGGTGCTTGTAATCTTACCCCCGAATAAAGCAGAACCCCTGGTTGATGAATAGATTGGGGGGTGCTTTTCCGTTTTTGGTGGGGATGCACTCCACTTTTGGAGGGGTCCCCACCCCCCTCACAATGGGACGGGTTGATTAATCCTGGGTCAACATTAGAGAAATGGGGGCTTCCCCTCCTTAACCACCAAACCACCGATTCGGCTCCAAACTACCACTTCCAGGAAGCTGAAGTTGGGCGGTTTTTCTCACGGTTCCCTTCAAAAACAGCTCAAGAAGAGGGTACCCTCAAAGAAGCCAAGCTCATTGGAGGGGGAGCCAAAGGGACAGCCATGCGGAGCCAGCCCCGCGAAAAGGGCGCTTTGGATTCGGCGGGGGCATGTGGTTTGACCGTTTTCTGGGGTAAGGCCAGAAAAAGGTTTCTCTTACTTGGGCTGCTTGACTTTGATACTGCTAGAATCACAGGGCCTGCCAAAAACACGTCCCCCAGAAGGAGGTTCCTTTGCAAACGCTTTGGGGTTTGCACGGCCGATAACTCACTTATAGGACTTTTCATCAGGATAAGTCAAGTGGGTTGAGCGTAGTTGCTTATTCACTGTTTTGCGTCTCTTGTGGCAGGTTGAAGCACATTGGACATGGGTTTGGCTGAGGCACTGCTTTCCGGCCAAGGCTCGAGTTGTGCTAAACTTCACGGCAGTCAGGCCCAGCAAAAGTCCGTCCCGCATGTTTTGTTTAGCGGTTGCCCAAAAGAGGGGCGAGGGTCCAGCCTCGTTGCCCATTCTGGCAGTTGCCAGGTTTCACCGCAGGCAAATGGCTGTGGCTCCAAAAAACGGTACCAAAATGGGTTGCCCTGGTAAGTGGAAGCATGGACCCAAAACCAGGGATGAGCATCGTATGTTTTCAAATGATGCTGGTGATGCCGGGGATGCTGTGACCTTGCACGTTTGCAGCTCTCCCCTTTTTTGGTCGGCACCGAGTTTTGAGCCATGCATTTTGAGACAAACCATCACCTTTTGAGCCTTGCATTTTGAGGAACAAACTCATTTTTTGCCTTGTAGACCATTGGTTTTAGTTTCCTTTCCCTCCAAGGAGCAACCCTTTTAGTGGCTTAAGGGTTTCCGCTTGCTTTCACTTACCGCCCAGACGGCACCGCTTTCTCCTGTTTAAGTTTGAGCCACACCCAAATACACTCGAGAAAGTCACCAAACCCCATGAGCTCCTTTGGCAGTTTTCCGCTGGACTCCCAATGCCGATGGGTAACAAGGGGTTTTTTGTAGCCCCTGATGAACACACCCTTGCAAGGCTTGCACTCCACCCCAAAAGGGTCAACAGGGTCTCCTTTCCGCGAGATAGAAGTGGATCGATCGGCTTTCGGAGTCATTCCGCCAAAGGAGTATTCCCCCCCCCCGGTCGAGGTGCAGTTCAACTTCATGCTCTCCAACATCCACATTTGGCGACCTGTCACCGTTCCTTTCTCCAGGCCAAGATGGCTTCGTTTCAAATGGGCTCGCTTCTTTGGGGAACCCCCCAAAACGGGAAAAGGGGGTAATCTGAGTTTTCCGTCAAAACCCACCAAAAGGAGATCAATTTCACCCTCCCAATGGCCCTTGCGTCAGGAGCGCCTTTTCCGTGTTGGGATTTGTTTGGGTTTGACCCTTGAGCTCGATCTGTCAAAACTAGGCCCCAAAATCAGTGCTTTTCTAGGAGCCAGCATGTTTGACACTTTCTTGAAGAATGGCTCCCTTACACTTTGTCTTGGTATGACTTCTGCCAGCTGGGTTTCACTTAACCACCTGAGAACATATACCTTTGAAGTTGAATGTTGTTTGAGGTATGCAACACGCTTTTCCCTAAGGTTGCAAAAGGACGGGCCTGGCTGAACATGGGCCGGTGCATCAGTAGGGAGAGTCTCTTTAGACTGGACACGCTCGAAGTGGACTTGAGGAAAGCAACATGGGCTCGTCTTTTGTTGGGATTCGGACCCTCCAAAATGGCTTCGGTTTTCCTTTTGGAACTTTAAACCCACCAACAACGGGGTAGCCTCGCAAAAAAAATCACCCACATCTTGCTTCGGACGCCGCTCATGGCAGATGTTCCAAGGGATCGGAGCTTCGGAGCCTGATGTTGTGAAGTCATTTTGAAGGGGTGAGCTTGTTTCGACCCATGTGTCACATGACTCACTTTCCTTGGCATTGGGTCCACTGGTCATGGTTTTTTTCAAGGAAGTGAGACAGCCGTATCTCAATTGGAGGAATCGTGCTGGCCTAAACAGATCACAAATACGTGGGTTTAAGCGCACCTTGCCACTCAAAGATCGGGGCAAGCCACCTTTTTCTGGCTTGAAGAGGCTATATTCCAGACACAGAACCATCCCCTTCTTTTGAACCCGGATTCTGGGGGCAGTGGCGCAACGAGCGCACCGAGGCTGGACGTGAGAGCGGGTGCGGGCGGGGGCCCCGCGCTGGCGCTGGGCCCCACTGTGAGCGCTCAGGGCCTCGCCAGCGCAGAGACTCAGCAGAAAGTCAGGTGAAACTTCCATTTGCTGACATGGCTGTGGTCAATCTCTTCGTTTCCCAACTAGGCTCTCAACAAATCTGAAAGCCAGAAACTCGGGACCTGAGCTTTGTCGACATGGCTGTGGTTGTCAAAAATAGGGTCACCCCAAAATGGCGCCCTGGCAAATGGAAACATGGACTAAAACTCCTGAGGTCCCCCGGTTTGTTTGAGTTTGACCCATACCCACATGATCATGGTGAAGGGGAAAAACATCGAGGGGTCTAAGGAGAATGGTTGGTTGTCGGTTGGTTGGCAAGCTGAAATTTCTGGGAATGACAAACATCGTCCATCTGCTGACATGAAGATGTGTTATTTCCCTTTTTGGTTTTAACGGGTTCATTCCCAAGACCCGTTCCGGTGATTCCTTAGATTGACCGAGGCTGGTCAAGAGACTCGGTTTTACCAGGCAGATGTTGGGTTTGCTGATGTTTTGTCCAGCCGGATGGGTTTGAATTATTTTCTGAGGGAGAAAAAATGCGGCAACTCTTGGAGCTCTGTGTACTTGCTGGTTCGATAGGGGAATGAGAGTTGGAATGACCCCGAGAAGAAGCATCCCCGATTTGGTTTCCTTCGGGAATCCCCTTCCGGTTCATTCCCAAGACCCGGAACGGTCATTCCCTACAAGGAAAGTCAGTTGAAACCCTCGAGTTGCTGGTACAGGCCAGATACGTTTGAGCGAGACTGGTCAGGAGACTCGGTTTCACCAGCCAGATATTTGGTTTGATTTTCCCTGACCAGCCAGGTAATTATTCGGTTTGACTTTCCCAAAGTCAAACAGACCAGCCAGATCTTTCTCAAAGGGGATGGGTCATTGTTTAATGTTTTCAGACCCTTTATTTAATCAGGTTCCCCTGAATTGACAGGAATATGAGTATGAGAAAGGTATCTTTCGTAGGGAGTCTTTATTCTAGCCGTTCCTTTTCCCTTTTCAGGCGAACTTTTCACCCCCAACGAAAAGGGGGGTGGGAAAACAGGAGGTGAAGAGGCAAATCTTGGAAGCCTTAGGGGAAGTGAAAGACAAACCTTTGAGCTCAGGAGCATCAAAGGTTGTCCTTGTGGCTTAGATCTGTTGCCTACCTCTCTCACCTTTGACCTTTGCACCTTGAAACGCCTCTTTCATTCCCGGCGCCTATGACTGCAGAAGAGAAGTGGTTTTACCTCTAGGTTTGGGGTCATTCCAACTGATCCCCTTTCGAACCAGCATTAGTTCTTGTCATGGTTGGTTGTACCCTCCCACGCTTTTCACATTTGAAAGGAGAATGGTCCGAACCAGGATTTCCCGAACGTCAGGTTCCATGTGGCTGTGGGTCCAAACCAATGGTACCATTTTGGGGTAGGTGCACCACCCATTTTAGTCTATTTTAGTGGGGATTGGATGTTCATTGGGGGTACGGGTTTTTTGACCCATGGCCATGTGAAAAGGCTGGGAGGGCACTCCTAAAGGCGGCACCTGGCAGCCAATCGCAGGGCTCCCGGGGCCGCGTTCCCAACTGAGGAGAAGAACACCCGGGCGGTGCTGCGGCTCCGCCTCGGCGCAGGCGTCTAGATGGTTGCGAAGAAAAATGTGTCTAATATTGTGGATGGACAAATTCCTGCACTACTTTGAAACCATGGGAATCCATTGTTTATTGGTATTGACAGGGGAATCGTCATTCCAGGGTTTCTTAGGTGGTGCAGGATTTCGTCCATCCACAGTATATATGTGTATTATATATATATATATGTTTATATTTATAATTATATATACATATATATATATATATATATGTATGTATATATGTATTTGCTCACCCCGACACGATGAGCTACATTTGGGGCACGTGTCTGATTCAACCAGGTCTGAAGGATCGATTGCTCTTCTGCATTTTGCGCATTTGTGGGGTTTGACCGCATATATATATATATATTTATATATATATATATGTATATGTGTATGTGGGAGTGGGGGTTCTGTTTTATGCTCTATTGTGGTTTAATTTGAAGAACAACTTGGCTATGACAATGTTTTTTTGTTTTTGTTGTTTTTTTTTTTGGGGGGGGCTTACTCTATTGTAGTTTGGTTTCAAGGAGAGCTCGGGCTGTGATACAAATCCCTTAACCCAAGTACCCCCTTATCTCAGATTTTGGACTTGTCGTAAGATTTGCATCCTTTCAGGGCCATAATCAGAGGGGGTACCCAAAAAGGCCTTCTCCATTAAAAACTTACCAGCTGCTTTCAAAGGGGCATTTTTCTTCTCATGGCTGGAAGTGCAGCTGATTTGTGACATTGATAAGCCCCAGAAACAGGCAACATAATCATCCCCCTCCCTTGCAGGGTTCACATGGAACCCAAAAGTCAAGATTTTGGGTCGAGGTTTCCGGTGGGGCGTTGGGTTTAATCCTAGAAGAGGCTTTTTCCGCGAAAATAAAAGGAAATCACAATTTACAAGGCAATGTTCAGGTGTATAATGTAAGGATCCCTGTCTTTTTTGGTTGGTTTGGTTGCAAAATAGAGGGGCGCTGGTTTACCAGGTGGTTTTATCATCTACTGTACCAGGGCCGCGTCACTTTTCTGGGGCAATTCTGGGCTCTTCTCTCCTCGCCAAAGCACCAGGGACAAAAACATTGGCTTTCGCAAAGTGTGTGTGAAAGGACGGCGGGGGGGGGGGGGGATGAAATGATAGTCTTGTGGTTTTCTTAGAAGCTGACATCGTGAGCCCGAAGTGAAATCCATGTTGGGAGGGCGTGTGTTGGATGGGGTTGGAACTGGGAGGGAAGTTGGGGATGGTTCCCACTGCCCCAGTTGGTTGTCAAAATCTTTTCGCCTCCAGATTTCCGGCCATTTTTTCTCATGGGATTCCTGGCAAGAATGGGGGAGCACGGCCGGGCGTTTTCGGCCACCTTGAAATGAAAGTCTGTTGGCTTGGCGGTTCCCAGTCTAGTGGGGGCTTCCAGTTAACCCACTAAAAGTTAAATGTTTCGCAGGGGATCTGAGGACAGCCCAGTTGGGAAGGCAGTGGTAGCCCGAGATTTTGTTTCAGCAACACTTCTCAGAGAATGGCACTTTGAGCCCGTGAAAAGGGTATACAAATATATACATATATATATATATACATATATATATATACATATATATATGTATACATACATATACACATGAAAATAACTATGATTGCACAGATTTGAAAAGGACACTAACCCCACCTGCCCGATTTACCAAGGGCCAATCCTTTCTGTGGCTCCTTGCGGAAACCCAAACCTGCCGATGTTCAGGCGAACACCTGCTGAGAATACGCCCGGCTCTCAGCGTAAGGTATTGGACCCCCAACGCCTCTCGAGTTGCTGGCAGCCCGCTTTGAATCAGGTCGCTGCCCGGATCTTCGCCGCAACAACATGTGGGTATGGGTCAAAATTAAGCCACCAGGAATCGGACCGCAGGATTTGGTCCATGTTTCGGTTGACCAGGGCGCCATTTTGGGGTTACCCTATTCTTGACAACCACAGCCATGTCGAAAAACAAGACGTTTGCCAGTTGGTCAATCCACTCAGGCGAGACGAAGAACTTGACGAATGTTCAAGCAACTTTGCGAGCTTTTTGCCGTGGTGATCGTGGAGATCTGGGTGAGTAAGGGCATACCTTTGGCTTCCTTTCAGCTTCGCAGATCTCAGTCAGCATGACAAAGCCATGCTTCCCAGGGTGCGCTTTGGAGAATTTGCGCGCGCTGGTAGACCCCCGACTTTCCGCTTTTTCAAGCTTACGTCTTTAGAGTTTCCTTCTTCTAGGGTTGTCATCTGAGCCATTTCCCGTAACTCGCTCTGCCAGTCAAGAAGTCCTTTGATTCTCGTATGGCTCTGTGGAGACCCCTTTAGTGTCAGATTTTGATTGCGATGCTTGACACCTTTTCCGGAGACATTCCTACATCGTGAGCGCCCTTATTGGGGAGGCCCCCTTGTATCTGAACCTCGTCACCTCGGTACCCCATGGATTGCTACGACCTTCTTCTAGAGCAGTAAAACTCAATGGAGCTTCAGATTTATCAAGAGAGTTTAGACTAGGTGTCCCCCAGTAGTGCGCTTTTACTCTTTTTTGGGGGAGGTTCCCCTACTAAAATAGACTACAGAAAAAAGGTACCCTTATTCTAACCTCTCTACTGGAGGATCTAGTAGAGAAACCTGTGAAGAGATGTAGGTTGCAAGTGCCCCCCGGCAACGCCGAAGGTCATGACCCGGCCTTTCCGAAGGAGGCACGGCGGTCAGATACTTCGGGCCCTCCCTGTTTCATCTCAGCCCAGATGAATACACCCACCAACCAGCAAAACCAGGGGTTCCTCAGCTGGAGTTCCTTTAACGCAGACTTGATCAAAGAAAGGAAGACCTTAAACCCATCATGAGTTTAAGACCACTGGTGCTGTAACAGCACCAATTAGAATGCAGGACACCCGGTTTCCCAAGCGGGACCGCTTGAAATTCCAGGCGAATTTGTGGTTTCTCCCCAATGGAACTGAACATTTTTCCGAATGCTGAGAGACGCTGGTCGACACTCGTTAGGGTCGCCCTTACTTCCATTTGCTGAACTGAATATCGTTTATTTTCCGCAGTTCATTTCAAAGGGAATCGACCATTCCTCATGGGCTATCTAAGTTCCTTGGAGCCACCCAACCTCGAATCGCTCCTCTGGTGCTGCAAACTGGGCTTTTGGGATCAGCGGCGCGTCAGACTTCATTGACCTGGCATTTGTTTCACCCAAGATGGGGGTCGAGAGTGTCCCAGATTGGGGGAACTCTGGTGGTGAGGAAAACCAACGAGACACCTCTTAACTTTTCTTCGGGCCCATGCGTATAGCACGACCCACTTGCACCACTTTTGTTCGGCCCCGTAGCCTAGAACGACCCACTTGCAAAACACCTGCAGGTGTTTGGTTGTCATCCGCGGCTTTCCAGGGGATAACCCAACGAAGATGTCCAGGGGCATTCCCAACTTCAACTTGCGAAAGCAGTCGTGCCCAGCCCCTTCGGTATGGCTCCCCAAACCTGGGGCGGCTATTCTTGGAGGGTTTTGACACGGCCGTTCCACTGGTGCTTGAACGTCTTAAAGTCGTCCTGCAAAGGGGGTCCGGTTTTTTGGACGCCCGTTTTTTTTTTGAGGGGGGGAGTTTAGTGCCAATGGCAACGTGGTCAACAGGTTGGGGGCTTGTGTTTTTTTTCATAAACTCTTGGCCTTTCGGGTCCAAGGACCGTTTTAGGTTTTCTCGACTTGGACCTTTTCATGAGCAATCTTCCAGGTCTTTTCTTGATCTAGGTCCCAACATGTCCCAGGATTTACGTAGCCTTTCTGAACCTGTTGGACCTTTTGGGTTCGACGTTCAACCCTTGCGGGTTGCAACCCGCTTGGCGGTTTTCGTGTTTTTTTTTCTTCCTCCAGTCGGGTGTTGACAAGCAAGGCGAGATTGATGTCCCCCAAAAGAACCATCGATTTGGTTTCATGTGTTCGGGAATCCCCCCAAAAAAAACCGTTGATTCCAGCTCATTGCCTATCGCGCCAGCCAGTTTGGAGACTTTCTTTTGGCCACTGGTGCCCAGGGAATGAGAATTGGAATGACCCCTATCCTTTTTGGTTGCCTGGGGAATCCCCGAAACCAGTTCATTCCCAACCCTGGCTATACCCTCCGCTCGTGTCGTCTGAATTAGAAAGCAAAGGACCTTTACCATGGAGAGCTTGGGTTACCCCCAGGTGAGCTCGCCATAAAATCGGCAGGTGAGCTTTTACCAGATCTTTTCTTGAGCAATCTTCCAGGAATATTGTGTCCCATGGCAAGTCATTCCCAAAACCCCCAAACCAGAACTCAGTCTAGCTCATCTGGGATCTTCTCCCCCTTTTGCTCAAGATCTTTTCCAACCTTTTTTTGGTTGAGATCCATTTCCCCCCTTTCCCCCCTAAGGCCTTTTTTTTCCCCCCGAGATCTTCTCCCTTTTCCTTCCTAAGATCTTTTCCACCCCTCTCCCTGCTGAGATCCTTTCCCCCCTTTCCCCCCCTAAAGCCTTTTCCCCCCAAGATCTTCTCCCTTTTCCTCCCTAAGATCTTTTCCCCCCTTTCCCCCCTAAGGCCTTTTTTCCCCAGATCTTCTCCCTTTCCTCCCTAGATCTTTCCCCCCCTTTGCCTGTTCAGATCCTTTCCCCCCTTTCCCCCCTAAGGCCTTTCCCCCCGCTGAGATCCTCCCCCTTTTCCTCCCTAAGATCCTAAGGCCTTTTTCCCCCCCCCCTGACTGAGATCTTCCCCCTTTTGCCCCCTACAGCCGGCTTTCGCGTCTCGAAAATTGTTGGCTTCAGGGCGGCCCGGTGAAGATCGTGGTGGCGGGCGGCAGCTGCGCCCCGCTGGCGCTGAAGCTGCGCCGGGCGCCGCTGCGGAAGCGCCTGCCGGCGCGGATCCGCGGATCCGGGGGTGGGCAAACTGGGCGGCTCCCATCCGATTTTTTTTAAGCTTTTAGCTTGCTGTTTGTTTTTTTGGTTGGATGTCCATTTGACCCACCTAAAAGTTAGACTTTGAGCAGGCTTGCTGGGTTTTTGATCGGTTGAGTGGTTGGATTTCCTCATTTTGGCCACAAGATAGACCCTGAGCGGATTTGAGGACAGACCAGCAACGGCAAGCCGAAAAATCCTTGGGTGGTGAAGGGGTTCCTTTGCCGTGAGGGCTTCTGGATTATTGGGCAAGGCCAGTTTTACCTTCTTCTTTTTTTTTTAACGAGGGAATCAACGGATTAGGGGATGAATGTCATAGGGGTTTGCAGGGTCCCAATTCTTTGTATTGGAAGTAACAAGCTGTTTTTTTTTTTTTTTTGTGTGTGTGTGTGTGTGTTGTAGCTGACATTTGACAGCTGCCGACCCTGGTCTCCTTTGCAACTTTGATAGCTAGAGCTGACCCTGAGAGCTCTGACAAGGTGTGTGTTTTGTTTAGGGCACCCCTTTCAGCTTGGTTGCAGCCACCATCTCCGACACATTCCCAAGTGGCCTTGCCACGATTCACGATCAGATGCTGAGGCTCCCACCGACTCAACTTTCACCCCGCGCCATTTTATGCGGGACTTAAAAAAAACTGAGAACCCCCAAAACAAGCCATTTCCTTTCGGGTTCCTTTCAAGCCAACCCTCAAAGCGCACACCCGTACATAGGCTTGCCTATGTGAGTTGATTGCATACGTTCTACAACTGAGCGCCCAAGAGCTATTTTGGCAAGGGGATCCACAGCACACAACTGGCTATTGGTCTTGTTTCCTTGACACCAAGCTCTGAGTTCTGAAGTCCCTCCACGGCCCACTGGTTTTTCGGTTTGAGGAGAAACCAAACGCTTCTTTTTTGCCCACTTGCCGCACACGTGACACACACTTGAAACTTGAAAAATATGATACATATAGGTGTGTCTTATTTTCAGAATGCGTGCTGTTTCCCAGGGGTTTTTACTTGAGAAGCACCCAAAAAAGTGGCGCCCACACCCACGTCAACCCAGCCGGTGTCAGATAGTGGACGTGCCAGCGGCGCCGGTGACGCGCGCCCGGCTCTCTTCGAACCGAGACCTTAGTAGCCGCCCCTTCAATACTGTGGATGGACGAAATCCCTTCGCACCACTTTGAAAGTGTTGGAAACCATTGTTTGTGGGTATTTACATGGGAGTCATCATTCCAAGGTTTTTTAGGTGGTGCAGGATTGCGTCAATCCACAGTAGCTACTCTATGGGTGTGTCTGTTTTTTTGGGGGAGCCCCAAAGAAGGGTGGTTTCAATCTACAACTATCTTAAACAAAAATATATACAGGGACCCTCTTGGCCTAGTTTTTTTGTGGACCCCTAAAAATGTGGGACTCTCCCAGAACGATGGTTTTCCTTTTGGTTTCCTCTAAAACCAAACAAAAGAGGGTGCCTTCAAAATTATGGCATTCCTTTAGCCTACACAAATTGGATGAGATTATGGAGAAAGGAACAAAAGAACGGGTGCCGCCTGGCAACTGGGCAACTGGGCATAAATGAACACTTCGAGCTGCACTGTAACGGCCTGAGCAAGTATGGTGCAGGTACCTTAAAACACCATTGCGTCATGATTCTACTAGACCAGTAGAATATTCGCAGTCTTTCAGCCCCTATGACTTTCATCCAGGGATCCTTCTTCTCTGGCCTGGACACAAGACCCTGAGACGGGACCTTCAGCCACACGTGGTGGGATTTTTGGGCGTCTGTCTATAATGTCAAGGGGGAAATGGAAAGCCCACACATGGCCTTACCAGGGGTCGTTCTCGCGTTCTCCCACCTTCAATCAACCAGGCTCTGAAAGCACATAGGAAAACAGCACCTTGGCGTTGATGGTCGGAAGCCCGGCCAAACAAAGCCCAAAAACGATCCAGAGAGATCCAAGGCGTATCCCAAGATCGTGAAAGCTTCATTCTGCAGGAATTAAAAGGAACTTCCCCGGAATCTGCAAGGCTAATTGCACGCGTCAATGGAAATTTTCCCGCCATCGACCAACGAAAAAAATTGGTCTTGCTGCTGTTGCTCTATTTTGGGGGTTCCCTGGCCTGCAAATCAGTCGGGGAGTGCTGTGAAATCTCCTGAACATGGAACGCAGAGGGTCTTCACAGGAAACCCGATTTGGTCAGATTGCGTGTTTGTGGATGGGAGGGAAAGCCGATTTCACGCATTTTCTTGGTCGAGTCCCCCTCCCCTGGACCCCCCCCCCCGAAAAAATATAGATATACGGAAGAGCAATGGAAGACAGGCCTCTTGTTGTTGGTCGATGAGGGGTTCTCCCTCCCTGAAAACGAGGAACATCAAAAAGAGCGGGTGCCGCGGTGACCGTTTGTTCCCAGTTGTTAGCTTCCCTGTTTCAAAAGCTTTGAGCATATATCACTGCACAGATTTTCTGATTGGGATGAAAGCAACTGGTTCCCTTACAAGATCATGGTTGATTCAAACAACTTTTCACCAACCCTGGACCTGGACATAGTTAGGATAGGCCATGCGCAACTTTTTTCGGACTCAAAAGTCTAGGGTCCACCCTAGGTTTTTTTTTTGCATTTTTTGAATAAGCGCCTCAAAACAGCCATTTTAAAACATTTTTTGAAACAGTCTAAACACATTTTGATAAATATTTGTTTTTATTACAGCATACGAAAACGAACAATAAATTATTTTTTGAAAAATTCAATACACCTAAACATTTTTATTTTCAAAAACACACATTTTCCAAAATATTTTAGAAAATATATTTTTTTCAAAAGAGATATATATATATATAGCATCTTAAGAATAATTATTCAATAAGAAACAACATTTTCAATAATTCAATGAGAAGACAAATAATTAATCATCTTTCAAAATTTGGATATTCCGGAGTTGCGCATGGCCCGTCTTGTAGGATTTTATCTTCAATATATAAAACGCTATACTTACATTATAATTATAACATATAAGGGTATAAATGTTATAATCATAGTATGGTTTTAATCATTTAAACATCGGGGCTGTATTTCATTTTGCATTCGTGTTTAATTTTTATTATAATGGCATATAGTTCTTGATAATTTTTGGCTGGACTGAAGCCAGCCTTTCTAAATAATTCTTTGATGTTTAACTCTGTTGTTGATTGTCCATTATAATACTGTAAATGAAAAACATAAATACGTTTCATTAAATTATATCTTTGTTTAGACATTTTAGGAAAACTACTTTTATCTGGAAATTTACATTGTATAACAAACAACCAGTTTTTTATATTTGCATTGTTCAAGAATTCGACATTATGATTTTGAACACATTCAATCTCACGAATTGGTTCTTCCCTTCTTTGACAGAAAGTACATTTATAAGTAAATTTGTAAATATGATTTAATACATTATTTGGTAAATTTATGTGTCCCATGTCTCTATATCTGTTATGATTTAAGTAGTTTTTACATTTACAAGCATCACATTTATTTTTGAGTTCTTGTTTAGTGTCATTTACTAAAACAATATCTAAGAATTTATTAATAATTTCGTCTTGCTCTTTCTCTGTAAATTCAATCATTTCTATTATAATATATATATATAGTGTTTATTTCTTTAAATACTTTTTTTACAAGAAATAAAATTAAATATTGAAATATAATTATAACATATAAGGGTATACATGTTATAATCATAGCATGATTAAGAATTATAGCACCACATTTCACAAGCCATGTTAATCCAAAAAACAAGCCATGTTAATCCAAAAAACAAGCCATGTTAATCCAAAAAACAAGCTATGTTAATCCAAAAAACAAGCTATGTTAATCCAAAAAACAAGCTATGTTAATCCTTAATCCGTCAAACTCACCAAGATTTCACAGATTAATTCGCTAGGTATTTTGTATAGGTCTTCTTGCTTATGTATTGTTGGGTTGTCTCCCCATTTTTCCTTGGTGCCCGATGGTAGCCGTTGTGCTGTTTCAATATGTTTATTATTCCTGATGTTGCCACAATCCCTTTTTACATAATTCTCTAGGTTTCCAAGTTGTAATGTTATTCCAGAGCCTAGTGCGTTTTCTGTAAGGCATTCCATATTTACAATAATCAACATCTTTAAATTCAAACTCATCCATAAACTCCTGATGTTTTAATAATCCAGTTTGTGGATTTTCGATTACAAAATATTTTGGATTGAAATATTTGATAATCTCAATAGTTTTTAAGACAATACTATTAGCATATTCAATATTCCTAATTCCCCTAGTTTTTGCTACACTATATTCAGTGCACGGGGGACTGCTCCAAATAAAATCAAAATGGTTTCTGTCAAATTGTTTATAATCCCATTCCAAAATATCACAATTAATATCAGCATTTTTCAAGTCTAATGATATTACATTAAATCCAAGCGACTTTGCTATGGTTCCTACACTTCCAGTTCCACTAAATAATTCTAATAAATTCATATTATTAGAATTACTTAGATATTAATTATTCAAATAATACATATACTCCATCATCGTTTTTTGAAATTTTGTAAAAGTCTAAAGTGGTGCTTTTAGGTTGTTTGATTTTTCCTGTATTCAACATATCACAATATTTCTTTTGCTTTGTAGGGTAGTCGCCTGATGGTCTTCCTATAGATTTTGCTTGAAATATCTTATCGATTTTTTCCTTCTCCTGCTGTTCGCTTTCAACTGGTTTCATTTTGTCATCAATGGATTGAATCATATCATTTAAGTTTTTGATATTTTTATTAATTAATGTTATCTTCTTCATTAAATCATTAATAGTATAATTTTCATTTTCAGACATTACTATATATTTATTTAGATATTTATTTATTTAATTATATATGTATAAAGTGCAATTATGTTAAAACTACTCTTTAAATACTAACTTATGTCCCTGTTAAAACTAACATTAATCAAATGTTCATTAGTTTCAACAACCATATCGCCACCTGTTTTTTTTCTCAATATTTAAATCCTTATCTGAGCTTTTATAAGAAAACATACAAGGAATACAACTAACCTTCACTCCGCCTTTCTTATCTACTGTCAATTCGTTTTTAAAATTCATTACGTGATTACATTTATCACATTTTATAGCCTTACTTTCACCCATTGATTTAACACTTTCTGCTGTTTCTTTCCGTGCTTCAATATCTGGTGTTGGTCTTTCTTTGCCTTTACTCTTTTTCTTTTTCCCATTTATATTAATATTTACATTTTTATTTTTGAGATATTGAATTCCTAACTTAATTATTTCTAATGAATATATTAATATAATTTGAATAACTCCTATTCATATAAATAATAAGATAAAATAGTTATTTAATCTTATTATTTTCATGCACGATAGAATATTCGGAGGGCACAGCACTTGGGGTTTTCTTTACAACGCATCAAACTAATTAGCTTCAATGCTTATTGATTGAAGTTGATGAAAGAGCCTGTTCTACTACGATAGACACCATTCATATCATAGCAATGCTTTCATACAATAAATAATATTAATTTATTTTCTAAATATGTTTAATATCAACTATATGACAGATGTTCCAATAATAAAACCAATAAACATAACTGAATATGAATTCAAACAATCTAAATATGAGCACGTGCCAAAATTACCATTTAGAAGTATTATAGTTGCTTCTTCGACAGGCGGTAAGACTGTCCTTATTCAAAATCTAATATTGAATGTTTATAGAAACTCATTTGCAAGAATATTTATATTTTCACCCAGTGTCCATAACGACCCTACATTTACAGAAGTTAAAAAATATATCAGGGATGAATTGCACGTGGATGATGAAAAAGAACAAATTTATTTTGATAATTATAATCCAAGTGATTTAGAAAATGTAATCGAAAGACAGAAGAAAATTATTAATTATATGAAGTCTAAAAAGATGAAAAAACTACATTCAATATTAATCGTTATAGACGACCACGCAGACGACCCTAAATTTGTTAGATATAGTAAATTGTTACATGGATTATTTACAAGAGGCAGGCACGATGCAGTAAGTGTGATTTGTTCAACACAAAAATACAATGTTT